AAAAAAATTGTTGGGCCCCCCTCAAAAAACGGGGGTTCCCCCCCCGCCTCCCCCCCAGGGGGTAGGAAGCCCTTATTCCCTTCCGGGAAAGTTGGAAGGTTCCCTGCCTACGGCGGGCGAAGGGGTAGGGTCGGAGGCGGCCTTGAAACTGACGGCGGCTGCCGTTGCAGTGCGCGGGAGGTTGAAGGGAAGGCGGCGTTGCCCCAGTTGGGGGGCGGCGGAGGCGTGAGCACCGGCGGCGTGTGTCGGGGAGGTGAAGGGAGGCGGAGGCGTGGGCGAGGTGGGGGGCGGCGGCGTTCTTGGGGGGAGGTGGAGGGAGGCGGAGGCGTGAATTTAAAAAAGTGTTGCGTCCCAACCGAAAGAAAAGAAAGAAACCGCCGGAACTGTCGCGGGGCAGGTTTCCGTCCGTATGGATGGCATTGATTGAATGAAGCCCGAGGGTTGCGGAAGGCGCGCGGCGGGGTCGGCCTCGGGCCGACCGCCGCCACCGGGGGCCGCCGCGCCGTAGAGCGGCCCGCCGGTCTTCCTACCGGCGGTGCACGCGGCCGCGCTTGGAGGCGCTGATTGCTCGGCCGCGCGGGGCCGGATGACTCGCCCGCTGGGGGTGGGGTGCACGGGGTTTGCGGCGGGGTCCCCAACGTCCCCGGGGGGGCGCGCGGGCGGCGGCCCGCGCGCCGCCGCCGCCCGGGTGGCGGCGATGGCGGTCCTCTCGGTGTCGCTCTCTACCGTCTCGAAGAGCACCCTTGTCTCCTCCTCGAGGTCTCGGACGCGGGCCCCGTGGGCTCGCGCTCGTGACCTGCCCCGAAGAGCCTCGAGCTGCGCGCGGAGGCGCTTGACCTCCGCTTGCGTCCACGCGAGCTCGGCGCGGTCCGCCCGTCTCTCGGGCTTGTGGGACGCGCCGTCCAAGCCGACGTAGCGATCGCCCTTGTCTGAGGGAAGATCGCCCTCCGTGTCTGCCTCTCCTCCCGCAGTCCGCCGCGGTGGGGTCGTCGAGCCGCGACGTGGCATGTACTTGCGCACACCTCGTGTAGCGCCGGGGGCTTGCACGTGTGGAGGGCACGTCCCCCGGGCGCGCTGCCCGTCCGGACGCCGCCGCCCAGGGCAGCTGGCGTCAGGAGCGATCGGCTCTGCAGTCGCAGCTGCTCCCACTCGAGGGCACCCTCGCCGGGTGCGCCGTACACCTCGTCGCTTGGCGGTGGCACGGAGTGCCATCGCGCGCCGTAGTACCACTGCGTGCCGTGGTCTCGTGACCCGTGGCGGGGATCGTGACCCGCGCCGAGGGCCTCCTTGGTGCCGTATGCCTCGTGCATGCCTGCAGGAGCGTGCGTCCCTGCAGTGCGAATCCTGACTTGGCTCGCAGCGCTCGCACCACCTCTCATCCTCCGACCCCAGGGCCTGGCTGGGCGACCGCTAATCGGATCGGTCCCAGCCAGTCGTTGGTCTGACTGACAGACTGAACCGTCTTACATAGCCAGCAACAGGCGGCGGAGGCGGAGGCGTGGGCGAGGTGGGGGGGCGGCGCCGCCGGCGGCGGCGTGAGCGGCGGCGGCGGCGGTGTGGGCGAGCGGCGGAGGCGTGGGCGAGGTGGAGGGCGGCAGCGGCGTGAGCGGCGGCGGCGGCGGTGTGGGGGAGGTGGAGGGAGGCGGGGGCGTGGGCGAGGGGGTAGGTGGCGAGGGCGATGGCGGGTAAACGAGAGGCGTGGCAACGGAGTAGAGGCCGGCGAGTGGGCACGGCAGGTCGGCGGAAGGTGGGTGGGGGGGTAGGTGGCGAGGGCGATGGCGGGTAGATGCGAGGCATGGCGACAGAGCAGAGGCGGGCGAGTGAGCACGGCAGGTCGGCGGAAGGCGGGCGGGGGGGTGGAGGGCGGCGGCGGCGTGAGCGGCGGCGGCGGCGGCGTGGGGGAGATGGAGGGCGGCGGCGGCGCGAGCGGCGGCGGCGGCAGTGTGGGGGAGGTGGAGGGAGGCGGAGGCTCGGGCGAGGTGGAAGACGGCGTGAACGCCGGCGGCGGCGGTGGGGAGAAGGTGGGAGGGAGGCGGCGGCGTGGGCGAGGTGGAGGGCGGCGGCGGCGTGAGCGGCGGCGGCGGCGGCGTGGTGGAGGTGGAGGCGGCGTGAGCGGCGGCGGCGGAGGTGTGGAGGAGGTGGAGGGCGGCGGCGGCGTGAGCGGCGGCGGCGGCGGTGTGGGGGAGGTGGAGGGAGGCGGGGGCGTGGGCGAGGGGGTAGGTGGCGAGGGCGATGGCGGGTAAACGAGAGGCGTGGCAACGGAGTAGAGGCGGGCGAGTGGGCACCCACGGCAGGTCGGCGGAAGGTGGGCGGGTGGGTAGGTGGCGAGGGCGATGGCGGGTAAACGAGAGGCGTGGCAACGGAGTAGAGGCCGGCGAGTGGGCACGGCAGGTCGGGGGAAGGTGGGCGGGGCGGTAGGTGGCGAGGGCGACTCACAGTGATTCTCTCTCTTCATGTGCATGCACATGCACATGCGCAATATGCACATGCACATGCACATGCACACATGACATGCGACATGCGTAGCCGGGTAGGTAAGGTTAGAGCCGTATAAGCAATAAGGCTTAAGCATATCGTGTCCTTTCTCCCGGGCGGAAGGTGCCCGGCGCGGGAAAACATTAAACAAACGCGAAACGGCTCTAGAGACTAGACACCACGCGCCCCCAAAATGCAGGTCGACTCGGTGCTCGTGCACACGCACTCGGTGCTGGGCGCCTCGCAGTAGATGCACCGCCGCTGCCGCTCCGCCTGGCGGCGCGAGTCTCGTGCGCCGGCCGCGTAGGTGATCAGCCCGGCGACGACGGTGGCGACGCCGATCGCCTTTGGCCACGAGAAGCACTGCGACGCCTGGTAGCGGCAGAAGAAGAGGACCGAGAAGGCGAAGACGAGGACGAGCTGCACGCCCTTCATCACCGCCGAAGAGACGGCGCCTAAAGAGAGGGGCTCCTCGCGGGCTGCTGGAAGGCTCCTCTGCAGCAGCCCTTTCGTCACCGACGAGCGCGCCGATCCGGTCGAGCAGCTCGAAGAAGACGAGCGCGTGCCTACGGCGGAGCAAAGCGCGGGCGAGTCAGACCCGTCTCGTCCAAAGCACCGAGCGGCCCAGGGCGGACAGGAGGAGGAGGCGGAAAGCGCGCATCGCGTTGACGAGCGTCAGGCCGGCGTAGAGCAGCGCCACGGTGCCGGTCTCGACCTCGCCATCGTGCGGCGCGTAGAGCTGCGGCCCGTGCCGCGAGAGCAGCGCGCCTGTGTTGGAGAGGTCCCGAGAAGGCTCACGGAAGGCTCATCCAAGAGGCTTGTGCCGCGGAGAGAGACTGCGCCGTTCCACGCGGCGAGTGCAGCCGTCTCGGCCGCCCCCATTCCCGACGAGAGCAGGAAGGGGTGGAGCCCGCCCAGCCGCATCGCGCGCTCCGAAAAGACAAACATCCCTTCGATAACAAACATCGGGATAGAGGAACCCGGTGGGGACCGACGCGAGAAAGAGTGAGAAGATGCCAGCGTGGAGCGCCGTGCCGCCCACGAGCGCCGCGCATCCGACGGCGAGCCAGCCCGCCTCCGCCGTCGGCGCCTCGCTGTACGCGCCGCGCGCGGAGAGGAGCGTGCCGGCGCTCACGAGGAGCACGCCCGCCAGCCGGACCGGCTCGAGCCTCTGGCCTGTGAGGGCATGGACGCGTGGTGGCGGGCGGCTCGTCCCCAGCAGCCGGCTCAAGCTCGGGCGGTCTGGCCGGCGCAGCGCGCGAGCAGCGCCGTCCACACCGTCGTCGAGGAGTAGATGACGACGTAGACGCCGGAGCCGACGATGAGGAGGCCGGTGGTGAGGAGGCAGCCCGAGCCGAAGTCGATGGCGGTGGCCATGCCGAGCCACCACCACGTCGACGACGGCCGCTCTGTCGCCCTCAAAAAGAGTGCGCGCTCTGAGCCGCACAGCCGCAGTCCGACCAGCGCCATGCCCGCCGTGTTGGACATCATCGAGAGCAGCGTGGGCGGCCAGCCGACGTGCCCTGCTCCGCCCTGGTACCGGATGCTGTCGGTGAGCAGAGGCTGGAGCAATCCGGTGCCGACGTACACCACCACCGTGAGCCAGAGAGGGAGGGCAGCGCTTTCGCCGGATGAGAGCGACATGTGTGCATTTGTTCGGTGTCGGAACAGGGCTCCACTTGCATTGTGCTGTGAGGGGAAAAAGAATTTCTGGAATGTTCTCGTTGCCCTATTTTTTTCCGCCTAGCCTGGCTGCTGGCCGCGGGCATGAGCTGGCCGCGTTTTATCCTCTGCCTGCTGCTGTCTATTGCGCACGCCTCCGCCGCCAAATCCGCTCCTCCATCCTCGCGGAGCGACCGCAGCGTCGCGGCGCGGCACCTCTTGAGCGGGGCAGCGGCTGGCGCCATCTCGAACACCGTCGTGGCGCCGCTCGACATCCTGAGGCTCAACCTGATTGTCTCGCAGGACAAGCGCGGAGCGCTGCGCATGGCACGCGACATTTACGCTCGCGGCGGCCTCCGCGCCTTTTGGCACGGCAATGCGGCCGACGTGATCCGGACGGTTCCTGCGAGCGCGGTGCGCTTCTACTCGTTCGCCGTTTACAAGGCGGCCCTGCTCGGCGCGGTGCCGGCGGCCACCGCCTCGCTCCTCTCCGGCGGCTTCGCGGGCATGTCTGCGATGGCCGTCTGCTTCCCGCTCGAGACGGTGCGGCGCCTCCTCCTCCGCCTCTCCTCCTCCTCTCCCGCCTCCTCTCCCGCCTCCTCTCCCGCCTCCTCTACCGCCTCCTCTACCGCCTCCTCTACCGCCTCCTCTCCCTCCGTCGGACGCATCGCTGCCCTCGCCCGCAGGTCCGCACGAGGATGGCGACGCTCGGCGCGGCTCGCCACTCTCCCGCTGCTCTCCTCCTACCATCCCTGCCCTCCCTGCCCTCGCTGCCCTCGCTGCCCTCGCTGCCCTCTCTCTCTCCCTCCCCCCCACCCTCCCTCCCTCGACCCTCGCTCCAGGCGCGGCGGAGGGCGTGCGGCTGGTCGAGTACACGCGCAAGCTGGTGCAGTCTGAGGGCGCCGCCGCGCTCTACCGCGGCCTCACGCCCTCGCTCATCTCGGCGACGCCAACTTCGCCACGAGGAGAGTTGTCATGATGGTCGTGGTGCTGGCGCTGAGGAGGGGTGCTGCTGCGCAGGTGATGCCCTACTTCGCCGTCCGCTTTGGGGCGTACGACATCATGCAGCGCTGCTACGCGGGCCTGCCGCCCGACGACGAGCGGCGGCGGCTGCTCGGCACGCTCTCGCCGGCGGCGACCTTCGGCATGCTTGCCGGGATGGCGGCGTGACACCGTCATTCTGGGCGGGGCTCCCGACTATGGCCGTCGCTACTTGGGAAGGATCTCGTGCGCTAGGCGTCGAGCTTGACGTTCCCCTTCGAGCTCGTGCGGCGGAGGGCGATGGTCGGGCCCTCCGAGGCGAACCCGCTGGCCGCAATGGTTCGGATCGCGCGCGAGGAGGGCGTGCGGAGAGGGCTGTACAAGGGCTTCGGGCTGAGCCTCTTCAAGGCGACAGCCCGAGAGTGGCCGAGACCGAGATCGCCCGAGAGATCGAACGAGATCGCCCGAGATCGAACGAGATCGCCCGAGATGCCCGAGGTGACATGCGCCCGGTTCAAGGTGGCGCCGTCGTCTGCGGTCACCTTCGTGGCGTATGAGGCGTGCTTCCGCGCCCTCACCCGGCTGGCCGAGAGCTGGGAGCGCGAGGAGCTGCTCCGCGCGCAGCTCGAGCTCGAGGCGCCGGACACCGCGACGGCGTGAGGCAGTTCTCGAGGGCGGCGTGGGGCGCGGCGCGCGCGAGAGCGCGGGCGGCGCTCCGGGCGGCGGCTGCGCGCCGTGACGGGGGCGGCCGAGGCGGGCTCTTGCCGCCAGGCGCAAGCGGCCGCGCGCACACTGTACTTGTGCGGGGGCAGAGGCACGCGTGATTGTTCCGGCGCAAAGCGCGTGTGTGTCGCCAGCTTGCGCGAGTCCTTGTCGGCCGTGGCGGCCGCCAGGGCTAAGGAGTGACCGTCAGAAAACACCTGCGTGGTGCGTGGACCGCTTCACACCTCCCTCCGCCTCCTCGATCTATCTCGCGTCCACAGTGCACAGACCCCCACACCACAGTCTCCACACTGCACACACTTCTCACTTCATACGTGGCTGGGTTCACAGCGATCACACACACACACACACACACACACACACACACACACACACACACACACACACACACACACACACACACACACACACACACACACACACACACACACACACCGCTCACCCACGCGCACTGGGCCTTGCACTTTGAATGCCGTGGGGCTCCTGTCGTCAGACGTGGAGACGCGAGGGTTGCCCCCCCTTGCCCCACCACCTCGTGTGTGTGGAGAAGTTTACCTTACCTTACCTTACCTTACCTTCACAGCGATTGTAGGAAAGTGTCGGGACCAAATCCCGGTCGCGGCCTTCCGACTCGCGCCTTCGCCTCACTGGCACTATTGTAGCCCTGGCCGGTGCGCGTGTGAAGTTGAAGTTCCGGAGTGAAAATTCGAACGCGTTCTCTCACGGTGACCAAAAAATGTCCACCTCAGAGGCACCTCCGGAGGCAGGCCGCCGCACGCCGGCGACACAGCTCCAGCTGTCAAACTGACCCGCAGCTCCTCTCAGAGCGGGAACTGTGACGAAAGTTGACTGAGGCGGTTGTCAGGAATCATCATACGGATCACATGGTGACTCTCTCATGACGGGAGACCGCCCGACCACTCCTGGGTGGCACTGCCACCGGTGTCGCTCGACGTCCTGTCGACAGCGTGCCGACAGCGACACATACCATGTGGGACGCGTCGAGTATCGACCTCTACTGCTTACCCAGCCTTCGAGTGTATCCTGGCTGTGGTCCCACACCCACTGGTGTCCATCTCAGAGACCGCAGGAGGTCATGAGGGTCGATGGGAGTGCCAACCCCAAAATGCCTAAAAACCCAGCCCAGTACAAACCCACACCGTCTTCTCTCCCACGGCTTTAGGTCCAGAGCCCTGGGTGGCACGGGTTGTGACATTTGGCGATTCCGCGTGTCGTTCCTGCCTCTGACGTTTGCAGCTCGAGCGAGGAGCACGAGAGTACGAGACGCAGGGCATCCAATGCGAGCGCACATTGTGCGTAGCCGCGGGCAGGTGGCAGAGCACGGCCGCACACCGGCTGTGGCGGCTCGAATGCCCCCGGCAGTAATGCTAGTCATTAACCTGCGTATTGGAACCGCAGCAGGCTGCTGCTGCTGCAGCAGCAGCAGCCTGCTGCTGCCTCATTCAGTCAAGCCAGCGGCGCAGCGAGGCGTGCAGAATTCGCGCGGTTTGGTACCTCCTGAGGCTGAGCGCGTTCAGACCCGGTGACCGGAGTTGGATGGTTCGATGGAGCTCGCTGAGCTCCATCGAACCATCCATGGCCGGACGGCGGAGCGTGATGTGGTGAGCGGAGAGATGTACCGCAAGACCAAAAAAACACGGATTTGCCGATTGTCACGGAGAGATGTACCGCAAGACGAGAAAAACACCGATCTGACGCGATGTCAAGCTGGAGGGCAATGTCGACGGCGGCCTCCTGCATCATCGTCTCGTCATCGCCAGTGGCTTGGTCTTCTGGGTCCGACCGGACGGCTCCACCGCCCAGCATCTGAGACATGAATTCTGGCACGTACGGCGGCAGCTCGGGCATCTGCCTCTGCCCCCTCGCCGCATCGACGAGCGCGCTCGTGTCAGCTCGCCGCTGCTCTTGGTGCCGCTGCTTGGCCGCCGCGCTCGCACTCGCTCCGCTCAATGACATCGTGAGGCTGCAACGGTCTGCGAGCTCCTTTCGCCCAGCGGGTCCACCACAGAGTTCTCCCTGTCATGTGCCCAAATGCGCCCGCCGTTTTTCGTCATACCCCCTTCGAAACCCGCCGACTTTGATTGGTTCCGATTCAACCTCACTCTCATCTTTATACTTACAGACACAAAACGTCAGATCTGTGCCACCCAGGGCTGGACCTAGTCGCCAGCGCTGGACCCAGTCCCACACAGACTCTGAGTGACACACTTGATCTCACTGTCACTCTCTGTCACGACTGAAACCGCCCCCAGGTCCCCACGACGCACGAGCCACGAGGGTCGGGCCCCCACACACTGACAGCTCTGCACACTGCAGGGTCTGCAGCCGCGCCGGGCACGCGAGGTCGCCGTAGCCCGTACCGAGCGTACAGGCCAACCCCGCTTCGACTTCGAAAATGCTACGTGTACACCCGTGGCAGAGCGCTACAAGCCGCCGCCTCTCTCTGGCGCATCCACAGAGCCTCTAGGCCGTCACGACAGGGAGTCGCACGACACCGGCACCGCTCACCGCCCATGGGACTGGCACTACAAAGGACACAGCAGATGGCCGTCGTCATCGAACAAGTCGATCTCTGCAAGATTTAGCCTCCCGAGCCGTAATCCTCCCCCCGAAGGCCCGAAGGGGGCCAGCTCCGCGCGCTCGGCATCGCGCTCTCCTTTGCGCGCTTCGAAAATTCTTTTTCCGAAGCTTATAAATAAAGACACCAAACGAGGGGTGGGAGAAGGACAGGGTCCCCACCTGCACGAGCAGGATCTTGTAAGGACGATCAGGGACACAGGGGAGCGGGAGTGCACAAATAGTTAGAGGCTGCGCAGGCCTCCCCCGGTATTTTATTGGTCGATACGAGTAGCTGAGCCGCGCATTATATGAAAACCCCAGAACGGGTCGGACACCGTCCCACCGTCGCCTCGCTACAGACGTCACGCCCCCGCGCGCGGGGTGGCGCGAGAGCGGAGAGGAGGCAGGAGCTGCTGCCGGGGCGCGTGGCCGCGCGTGTGTGTGGGCGCCCCCCCCCCCCCCGGCCGCGCCCCGGCCCCGCGCTAAGCGCTGTCAGCGGTGGGCCACCTCTCGGCTCACGCCGCTGACCCAAGCACCCAACTGCATGCGTGGCGGCGCCGGCGGCGCAGTCAGAGTACAGAGAAGGAGAGAGTGTGCACAGGCTGTGCGCACCGCGATACCGCGGCCGGGACGGTGAGAGAGGCTCGCCATTCACCCGGCTCAGCGGCGAGTGGGAGGGCGGTGGCGGCGGCGGCGAGGCGCGAGGGCAGGCGGTGAAAGCGGTGGTGCGGACGGCGGGATTGACAGGGGAGGCGGCGGCCATGAGCGGAGCGGCGGCGAGAGGGGGGCCCAGCGGCGAGGCGCGCCGGCGAGCGTAGAGCTGTCAAACGTTAAGAGCTGAACAGTGTTGCTAGTGTTAACAGTAACAACAGAACAACAGTTGGGCTCCCCAACAACATTAGCTAATGTTAGGCCAGCTGAACAACAATAAGGAAGGCCTACCAGTGACCCACGACGATCTCCAGCGTCCAGTGCAGGTAATACCCGAAAATACCTGGAAATCCCCGGGTATTTTCGGGTTTTACCCGGGTTTTTTGGCATTTTCTGCTTGCTGACCACTGAACAACAGTAACAACAGTAACAAACAGTAACAGCTTGGGCTGGGGGAGAACACTTGAACAACGTTGAGGATTTCAGCCAACAATAGTGCAACTGTTAGGCCCAAAGTTAACGACAGCTCTAGGCGAGCGAGGCGCCCGCGCCATCAGCAGAGGGACGCCGCCGCGAGATGGAGGGCGGCGGTGACGGAGGCGAGGGGCGAGGCGGCGGCGGCGGCGGCGGCGGCGAGAACGGCGGCACCGAGTCTCGGTGAGCGGAGCGGCGGCGGGAGGAGGAGCAGCGGCGATCGCTCGCTGTTGAGCGCTGTTTTGAGCCTGGGATCCCATGCCACTGCGACCGGCGTGCCCGGGAACGGAGATCGCGCGCGCGCCGCATTCACGACGCGCGCGCGATCTTCGCGGAGTCGGGTCCCCAGAGGGAAGCGGTCTTTTCGGCCGACGTCCAGCGGCGCGCAAGGAAGCAGGCGCAGCGCCGGCGGTGTCGCGCTGCATGGGCCAGCAGGGTGCAGTGGCGAGGGGCGGCGGGCTCGGACGTCCACCGAGTCGCTCCGCGCGCCAGGCGGAGCGCGCGCGCGGGCCAGGAGGCTCTCGGCAGGCTGAAGAGGTCGTGTGCACTTATTGCGGGGCGGGGCGGGGCGGATCCACTACCTAGGTAGTATTCGGCACGCCTCCCTATCTCCTCCCCCGAATCCTCCGCGAAGATCTCGACTCGCGTGCCCGTCTCGAGGATCACCTGACCCGCCTGCCTTGCTGCCTCGTCCACCATGAGCCGCTTCCGGCGCGACTTGACCGGCTCCGGCGCCTTCGGCAGCAGGTAGTTGGGCCCGCTCTCCTCCACCGCCGCGAGCACGACGGACGCGCTCAGGTGCTCCACCGCCCCCTCCTCGTCCGGCGGCGGCTCGAACGCCCTCATTCCCGCCTCGCGCTCGCTCCTCTCGCGGGCCGATCGCTCGTGGTGGGCGTTACGCCGGTCGACGCCGTCCCCGCGGTGCTCCGCGGTCGCCGCCTGCGGCGTCATCGCCGCCCAGGCGTCGCTAGCAGGGGCGTTCCGATGTGCTCCGATGTGTTACGACTCGCTCTCCAGCCCCTCCGCAGCTGTCACGCTTTTGGTCGAAGGGATACCCCCCCGCCCCCCCCCTCGACCCCCCCCTGACCCCCCCTGGACGCGTCCACCCTCCGTCCAATCGAGCCGATCCCTCTTTTACATACATAAATACCTCGGGAGGTATTTCTTTTCCCAAACTGACAGAAAGGATGGAAGAGGTGGTCGTCGAACTGCACGGCAATGTACACATCGCCGTATTCGACATCGTACACACCGAGGCGGGAAGGAAGGCGAGGGCAGGAGAGCTTAGGGCAATGTATGTAGAGGGAGAAGAAGAGGTGACATGTCCAAGAACTAAGCAGAAGGTGATGAAGCGAAAGGTTGTCCGAGGGGGGCAATTAGAACGGCGGCGGCGGAAAGGGGGCGAGAAATTAATAAGAGACGAGGGGTAGATATGAAGGCAGTGGAGAAGCTGCTACAGCTGACACAGCCCGAGTCGGGGGGGCAACCTACACCGCGCGAGAGAGCGGCACGATTGAAGGAGGTGCTCACATGGGCGCCGGGCGAGTTATCAGCCCCCCCCTGCGGCCATTCGGCGAATAAAGTTTATCGAAACGGCTTCTTGAAACCCGGCTGGTCGTGTGCCGATTTCGCTCAATGTCGAGCCGTTTAGCCGCCCAAGCACCCGCCCCGCGCTCGGCCTCGTGGCATCTCTGCGCGCATGATAGCGCGTGATAATCCAAGGGAATTAGTTTGCGTCCGTCCATCGTCTTCGTGGACTCCGTCCTCGTGACGCCCGCACCCCACACGGCCACGAGGCCTATTTAGCTTTGAGCTCCACCTGCAGGTCGCCCCGCGAGGTGTGGTCGAGGTACAAGTAAACCTCGATCCACTCGGTGAAGAAGCCACCCGTAGCGCCAACCTCGAGTGTGTGGACCAGGGTTGTGCCGTCGTGAGGGACGGTGGACGCAGGCGCCGGTTGCGCACAGTAGCCCCAGCTCTCGCCCTGCCTGGCAGGCCGCATCCATCACGTAGCACCACTCTTCCGCGCTGCCGTCGGGGCGACCGCAAAAGTTCTCCACCGGCGAATCGGGCAGATCGGTCTTGGTCCAGGTCTGCTTGCAGACGCAGCCCGCCATGGTCAGGGGGAGGCGGAACTTGGACATCCCGTGCGCCTCAATGAGCACCTCCGGCCCGCCACGGTTCCCACGACTGCGCTGCCTCCACCGCCGCCTGCGCGTCCACCATCCCAAATCCGTACTTGGCATTGTGGTGGTAGCCCGCCTCATTCGTGGTCCAGCCCTCGTCGTCCGGATCCGTCATGTAGGACGTCTGGGCGAGGATACCCTGAACGTCGCGATACGTGAGCTGCGGAGCCGCCTCGAGCATAAGCGCCACGACACCAGACGCGACGGGACACGCGTACGACGTCCCCTGCCCCTGGGCTGCGCAGCCGCCGCCGTTCGCCGCCACCATCTCTCCTGCCAGCGGCGCACGCGGCGCAGTGGAGAGGTGCGGGCGAGGCTGGTGCGCTGCCCGCGCGGCGCTCCACCGGTCGCAGCGCGCCAGCCTCGCCCGCCACGCCATGCCAGCAGCCGGGCGCGCGCGGGAGAGGTGCAGAGCTGGCGCGCGGCGGGTCATGGTCGCCGAGATCTGGACGCGCAGGACCGCCCGGACGGCGAGGCTCGAGCGAGCGCCTGTGTGGAGGTCGAACGGCGTGTGGGAGGGCGGTGGGCCGCGAGAGAGTCGCGCAGCCCCGCGTGTGTGGACCTGTGGCGCTTCGGGTGGCGTACCGGGCCGTCAGAGGCAGATACGTGGCGCAGCGAGTGCGAATACATGCAATAATTTGCACGCACCGTGCCGAGCCGACCCGCGTGCACATTCGGAGCACCTCGAGGCGGCGCGAGAGGCGGTGTGTCGAGGTGCCGCGGCCCGCCGCTGCAGCGTGTCGAAACGGCGCTCTCGGAGGCGCCGCGGTGGCGGCCGAGCGCGCGGGATCGGCGAGAAAATTTGACGGCGAGCCGGCCGTGGGCCCGGACGAAGGCGCCGCCGGCTCGGATTGAGTTCTGTGGCATCAGGGGCGCCTCCAGCACTCAAGACAGTAGCACGCTGTTTCTGTCTTGGCCGCCACTGACGCGAAAATCCTATCTCGCGCCCTCGTTGGGTAGTCAGCGAGACCCTGGCCGTCCGTCCTCCCGTCCGTCGCAGCCGATCCGGCCGTTTAGTCGTCAAGCCCGCGGCCGACAGGCACACGGCTCGCAAAATGTATCACCGCCGCCCGCCCAAGCCCCAACCCGCCGCACGCGCGGCGGCATCGCACGCGCGCCGCACGCGCCGCCCCCGTGCCTCTCGCCCACGCGCGCGTTCCGCCCGGCTGTTCTCGCGCCGCCAGGGGGCTCTTCTCAAGGAAGCGGAACCTGAAGAAGGATGACCAGGAGCTGCCGCTACCTCCGGGTAATAGCGCGGCCGGCGCCAAGATCTTCAAGGCGAAGTGCAACACCTGCCACACGTGCAATGAGGGTGGCCCCAACAAGCAGGGCCCCAACCTGTTCGGCGTGATCGGCCGCCAGTGCGGCCAGGTGCAAGGGTTCAAGTACACAGGGGCCAGCAAGAACTCGGGCATCCAGTGGTCCAACCAGACCCTCGTCGCCTACCTGGAGAACCCGAAGAAGTACATCAAGGGCACCAATATGGCCTTCCCCGGCTTCAAGAAGGACCAGGACCGTGTCGATGTCGTCGCGTACCTCAACACCATGAAGTAAGGTACGGACCCGACCGGTCGGGCGGCAGTGTCGCAAGGGCTGCGACGCGCCGCCTGGCGGCCCGGGTGAGTGGTGCAGCCCTTGGGCTCTAGTGCACCCCTTCCAGGCCCGGGGCTCACCTTCACCGTGGGAAGGTGGGATTCCGGGTCACGTAAGGAGGGACAAGCGGGCCGACGCGGATGCACCCCACTGTCGATATACAATACCCGCCGCCTGTTAGTCAATCGAGATTTCTATGCCGTATGGTGTACCTGTGTTGGTGCCAGTGCGCGCCAGTCCCGTGCCCAGTGTTGTGCGAGGGAGTTTGCGTAGGTTAGGTAGTTTGGTTGTAAAATTCTATGCCGTGAAATGTGTGATCGCGAGCCAGCCGTGGTCGCGTTTCAGTGTCCAAGGCGGGACGAAAGCTCGAGCCTCCCGAGCACAGCCGGCACCGACGAGCAACGACGAAGGCCTCGCGTCCTTCGCGCAGCGTGCCGATCGCCGCAGTCGCGTGCTGCGCAGGCTTCGATTCCGGATACTCCGCAGAGACTGCGCGCTCGATTCCGGACTGCGCGCTCGACGGCGGGCGGCAGAGCCACTGCCAGCCGTGATGACGGCCGCCACTGGGACGCGTGCACCCTTGACGGAGCCACCTTCGGTGGCTGTGGTCGAGGACCGCTTCGACGACGAGAGCTTCGAGCTACCGTACCAGTAGCATCGGCCCCGTTGGCGTTTGTGCATGCGACGCCCCTCCCGTCGCTGCCTCTGCGGGCGCTGCCATTCGCGGTCGCCTACGCGCCCGCGGCTCCGGCGTGGCTGCTGGCGACGCCCCCGCCCTCGCCTCCGGTGCGCGGGCCTCCGGGGAGAGAGGGGGAGATCTCCTGAGATGAGGGGGAGATCTCCTGAGATCGGATAGTCCGGCCAGAGCTGAGCGTTTCTAAGGTCAGGAGCAGCACCCGAGCCAAATGAGCGTTTCACGTCGTTCCACGAGGCAGGGCCAGGCGAAGAACGCAGGGCCCTGCGAAGAACGCCGGGGCCCTGCGAAGAAGGATGGCGTGGCTCCTCTCGCCGACGTTCCACGTGCACTTCGTCGCCGACAAGGACGAGCCGGCGCTGAAACGCCTCGGCGCGGCCTACAAGCTGACGTCGACAGACCTGGGCAACATGCGGCAGCTCCTCGGCTGGCGGGAGGTTGGCCAGGACGGCCGCGTCGGCAAAGGCCTTTGCAAAGGGTTTACGCTGCTCGAGCGCGTCGTCTGGATGCGCTGTGATGGGCCCGCCCGCGGCTGCAGCTCTCGGAGAGTGCGGAGGGCGTGAGCATCCACGACCTCATCCAGCTGCCGACCGGGCCAGCGGCGTCGCCTTCATTTGCTCCGCCGCCCCAGGTGAGCAGCCTGCACCCGTCATCAGCAACCCCCACACCGTAACCTCTCCTCCTCCCTTGCGTGCACAAGGCCGACTTTACGGGAGCTCTCTTTCCCGCGCGGCATGGAGTTGGGCGTGCCGGCTCGTCCAACAAAGTTGCCGATATTCGCGTTCCCAGAGCCAGCCTCTGCTCCTGCCGCCGCCGCTGCTGCTCCCGCTCCTGCCGCCGCCGCTGCTCCTGCTGCTGCGGCCGTGCCCGCTCCTTCCACCGGCACCGCGTGCGCTCCCGCTGCTTCCGCCAGCGGTCCTGTGGAGCTCGACAGGCGTGACGAGCGGCGGGCGGCGGGGCACGCCCGAGCGTCCATCGGCTCAGGAGGACTGGATCGCCCGGGCAGGCCTGCGATCGGCCTGGCGTCAGGACTGAAGCGCGCGCTCTCACAAGCTGTGCCGCCGCCCTCGCCGCCGGGGTGCCTCGCCTCTGGATTGAAGAGCGCCCTATCGCAGTCTATGCCGCCGCCCGCGCCGCGCCAGCCTCCGGCGCCCTCTTCTGGGTTCACCGCCTCGGAGTTCCTTGGCAGCTTCGACTTTCTTAGCGCTGCGGCGGCGGGCCTCCGGCCCTCTCCCACCAGGTCCGACCCAAACGCTGCCTCGGCGGGCCTCCGGCCCTCTCCCACCAGGTCCGACCCAAACGCTGCCTCGGCGGGCCTCCGGCCCTCTCCCGCCGCGTCCGACCCAAACGCTGCGGCGGCGGGCCTCCGGCCCTCTCCCGCCGCGTCCGACCCCGACGCCGCGATGGGGCGGCTGACACAGCCCGCCGGCTACAGCCCTCTCATTGGTGGCGTGCCTCCACGCAAGCCCGCCTTCTGCAGCGCCCTCGCGTCCTCGCGCGAGGACACCTATGCGCGCGGCCAAGCGGATCTGCCCGACGACCCGCGCAAGCCAGCCGCAGTGGTCGGGGGCAGCATCGGCAGCAACAGCAGCGGTGGCGGCCCCCCTGTGGCCGCGGCAGTGGGACCGGCAGCGCCAGCCGTCGTTGTCCACGCAGAGGCGGCGACAGCGGCGGCGGCTGCTACCGAGGCGGCTGCTACCGAGGATCACGCGGCCGCGCTCACGGCGACGGCCGAGTACCTCACGACCAACCAATCTTTCGGGCCAGCGCTCGAGGTGCTCAAGGCCGCCGCGGTCGGCCCCGCGCCGCTGCCGCATGTCGTGGCGGCGGTGCGCCGCCTCGTCGGGGAGGAGCGGAGCGGTGTGATGGTGTATGTGCGAAACAAACACGGCACCGCGCTACGGGCGCTGGTTCGCAGCGTGCTCGGCGCGGCCCTCGAGGAGGGCAAGCAGGTGACCAATGCGCAGCAGTGGTCTTACCCGTTTCTGGCCCGGACGGTCAAGTTGCCTCGGCTGGAGGATTATTTGCGCGCGTACCCGTCCCACTTTCGCGTTGACGACCCGACTGCGAGTATCCAGGCTCCACAGTGCCGAGTGGACACTCTCCTCGTGCAGCGCGGCCACTGCAAGGCGAAACACGATGCGAAGAAGCTCGTCAAGGCCGGGCACGTGTGGACCGACGGTGAGGTGGTCAAGTACCCCGGGCAAAAGCTGCCAGGCGACGCGCCTCTTTCTCTCACTCTCGGCGGCAAGCAGTATCTCCAGGCGTCGGCCCTGGCCACGGGCTCGACCGCATGGGAAAAGCGCCAGAACGCTAGGCTGGACCCCAGCGCACACAAGTTGCAGGCGGGCATTGTGTCGGAGGCGGCGACTGCGGAGGCGGCGACTGCGGAGGCGGCGACTGCGAAGGAGGCGACGGCGGGGGCGGCCAAGGCGGGGCGGAAACAGCGGCGGCCAGAAAAGCGCAACCGGGAAGCGCAAAAGCGGTTTTTGGCGGCGGCGGAAGCGGCGGCGGCGGAGCAGGCGGCGGCAGAGCAGGAAGCGGTGGATGACGCGGCGTTTGAGGAGGCGTCGTGTTTCGCATCGTGGCCAGAGACGTGTCTCTGGCCGCAGTCTCTGTCGGAGTCTCCTCCATCGCAGGCCCCGCCACCGCCGCAGCTCCCGCCGCCGCTGCTAGTCCCGCCGCCGTCACAGCTCCCGCCGCCGTCGCTGGTGCCTCCGCCGTCGCAGCTCCCGCCGCCGTCTCTGATTCCACCGCCGTCTCTCTTCCCTCCGCCGCCACAACCGCCGCAGCCGCCGCAGCCGCCGCAGCCGCCGCAGCCGCCGCAGCCGCCGAGCATTTCAGCACCGCCCGGGGTTGGCGGCGGATGCGGCCCCGCAGCGGGGAAGAAGCTCGGCTTCGCCAAGCCCATCCTCGGCATCTTCAAGCAGGCGGTGGAGAAGCAGGCCGCGGCGGAGATGGGACTCGAGCTTGAGGGTCCTCTCCACCCGGCGGGGCTGTTTGACCGCCGCTCTCGCTCGCCGGACCGCTGCTCTCACTCGCCCAGCCGGCGCTCGCCAGACCGCCGCCGGCGCTCGCCAGACCGGCGCTCCCGCTCGCCCGGCCGGCGCTCGCCAGACCGCCGCCGGCGCTCGCCGGACCGGCGCTCCCGCTCGCCCGGCCGGCGCTCGCCAGACCGCCGCCGGCGCTCGCCGGAGGCGATCGAGAACGCCAAGGCGATGCTCGCGGCGCGCACGATGGGCGCCGGCCCGCTCGGCCAGCTGACCGGCGGCAGCATCGCCCCGCCGCTCGCAGCGCCCATGCAGCCAGCTGCTCGCGGCCCGCCTCCGGAAGAGCCGCCGCCGCCGGCGGGCAAGATGACGGGGACGGCCAAGCGCTTCGACATGGAGCGCGGGTTCGGCTTCATCGTCCCCGACGACGGGGGCGAGGACATCTTTGCCCACGGCAGCGCGCTGACCGACGGCAATGCGCTGCGCGAGGGTGCGCGTGTGTGCTTCCGCAAGACGTACGACCCGGTCAAAAACAAGGCGGCGGCGGAGGAGGTGACGGGCGCGTACATTGATCCGATGCGCGCGCCGCCCCGCGGCATGGGTCCCGTCCCGCCGGGCATGGGAGGCGCCCCTCGCGGGCCGCCTCTGGGCGAGCCGGCGCCTCCGCCGGGAAAGATGATGGGGACGACCAAGCGGTTCAACATGGAGACGGGGTTCGGGTTCATCATCCCGGACGGCGGCGGCGACGACATCTTCGTGCACGCCATGAACATCACCGACGGCAACGCCCTCCGCGAGGGCGCGCGCGTCTGCTTCAAGACGGGAGTCGACGAGCGCAAGAACAAGGCCCACGCCAAGGAGGTGACCGGCGGTTATGTCGACCCGAGCCGCCCCGGCTTCTTCGCCTTTTCAATGCCCTTATCATTGTCTTCGCCGCCCGGCGCCGCGTCACGCGGCGGCATGCCGCCGATGCCACGGCGCTCCCGCTCGCCCGGCCGGCGCTCGCCAGACCGCCGCCGGCGCTCGCCGGACCGGCGCTCCCGCTCGCCCGGCCGGCGCTCGCCAAACCGCCGCCGGCGCTCGCCAGACCGGCGCTCTCGCTCGCCCGGCCGGCGCTACCGCGACCGCGACGACTACCGAGACCGGCTCGGGCGGGCCTATGACCGGCGCCCACCGCCGCCACAGCCGCAGCCGCCGCGCGAGACATGGTTGTTGCAACACACCGCCGCGAAGTTGTGGCGGTGCTTGTGTTGCGAGATCTACTTGCCTTTCGGGCCGGGGACCGATGCGATGCGCATGCATTCCGCCGGCAAGAGGCATCAGAAGAGGTTGAGCGTGTGGACAGCTACGCAGCGGCGCAACGGGCGGCCAGCCAGCACGCAGGTTCTGCTCCCGCATGTTGCGAGCATGTTGCAGGACAGCGACATGCGGACTACCGCCGAAATGGCGCACTACCGCCGAGCCGCACCGCTGCACACGGTCGGCGATGTCAACGCGCTGCAGAGCGGCCGAGCGCATGCGGAGGCGGAGGTGAGGTGCGCAGTGGGGCAGATGCTGCACGTGATTTGCCACGCTCACGGCGAGAGCGACGGGTCCCGAGACTTGGGCGCGGCCTACGCGGGGCGGTCCCGGCTATGGGCAGTTGCCGGCTCGGGCTCCTCCTCGCCCGACCTCACCGACGGAGACGACGTTGCGTCGGTCGTGGAGGACTTGGTCGCTTCGGTCGTGCAACAGCAAGCACCATATCTTGCGCAACATGTGCGTGGCAAACGTGTGCGTGGCAAACGCCAATCGTCGTGCAAACGCAAGGCCAAGCGACGGATAGCTGAGCGAGACGCCGCGGCGAGCGCTAGCACGGCGAGCGCCGCTGGCACATCCACTGAAACGTGTGGTGGCTGGCCTGAGCTGGAGGTAGAGGGGTAGAACGTTCGGATCGCGCTTCTCATCGCAAACCCCGTCACCCGTCAGCAGTCCTCCTTCCTCCGGGAATGTACGTAAGAGCTACATACTCTATACACTGAAAGTGACCAGATAGCCGCACACGCCCGACCGATACGCGTTCGGGTCCGCGACAGTCTGCAATCTAGCGGACTATACGGCGCGACTACCGGTGCCGGTGCGCTGTGAGAGCAGGGCCGCCCTGTGGCGCCTGGGCGCTGTGCGTGCTGACTGGCGAGTAGAATGGGGGAGACGGGGGCTCCCCGAGCGGCGTCCAGGCGTAACTAGGCCTCTACTAGGCGACCAGGGACTATACAGGCCTGCATAGCCAAAAATAAATATTGCGGTTCGTTCGTGGTTCGTTCGCAGTTCAGACGAACTTCCCTGGTATTCCTCACCCTGCGGGTGTGAAGCGGGTCGGGGGGAGGAGAAAAGAAAAGGCTCAGTTCACGAACTAGTTCGAGGGTTCGGGCACCCAAGGGCAAACAAACAAGGGCAAACACAGCCTCTCGCCCAAGTACTCGCTCTCTTTTATGTCCCACGCTCCCACCATGCAGAGCGCATCTCTCTCTCTGTTGTGCGAGGCGTGAACCGCGCCATTCGCTCTCACCTGGCAACCCTGTCTGCACGTCTCGCGCGCGCGTGAACAGGGCTCCAGGCCCAAATGACGTGTGAGTGTTAGAGTTGTTTGGTATTGCTAAAAATCTCTCTCTCTCCCAAGGGCAAACGACCGAACCATGCAGCGAACCAAGGGGATGCCGTCCAGAGCGAACTCCGAAACCGAACGAACCGCGAGTTACCGAACCAGTTCATGAACCAGTTCGCCAGTTCGCCCGCGAACCCTGGGTAGTCGACGGGCCCCCGGGGGCGACGGGGGTGCTCTCGCGGGGGACCCCCCAGTCAAGGGGGTCTGGGGCGCAGCCCCGCGCCCCAGGAGGCCCGCTGCAGGCGCCGATTTTTTGGGGCTTTTTTGACTGATTTTCATGAGGTGTTGCTACTATTTTGGGACCAGTTGAAGCCTAAAATGGCTACAAATACAGCCACAGCAGCTGCTAGTCGTGAGCTGCTACTGTGTGGCAGAGCCCAGAGAGAGGGCTTTCAGGAGCACTATTCAGTTTGATCCAGCTCAACGTTGCGGAGTAGTAACACTGTTCCGTTACCGTGAGCGGCCGGCGGCCGGCGGCGGCCGGTGGCGGCACGCGGAGCACTCCGTGAGCGGTGACGGGTGCGGACGAGCGAATGAGAGGTCCCTTTCAGTGAGAGATAGGCAGCCCTAGTCTCTAATAACACATCTTCCACAGATAGCGACCTCTCATTCGCTCGTCTGCGCCCGCTACTGCTAGTCGGGGCACTCCCGGCGTGCGGCCCGGTCCCGGTCGTCACTCCGGCTGCTCGTGTTCACACCGTCAGAACTCAGCTCCGCTGAGGATTCAGTGTCTGAGACTTTTGGTCATCTTACACAACTTTTGTAGCAGAGCACAATGGCACCCTTGCATCAAGTGCATCACTTCATTAACATACCGTAACATAGACCCCCGTTTTCGGCCGCCGCGGCCGGAGAGCACCCCCGTCGCCCCCGGGGGCCCGTCGACTACCCAGGCCGCGAACGTCAAAGGCTGCCTGGCTCCCCCGAGCGAGACGGGTCAGACTCGAGGGTCAGGCAAGCATGGCGCGCAGGCGCGGCCACGAGCGAGTAGGTAGCGCGCGGGAGAAGCGCGGCTGCGCCGTCGCCCACGAGGCTGCCAGTCGGGTTGACACCGTCTGAACCACAGCGTGTCCCGACTCGACCGCCGGCGTCCCGGTCCGGTGTTTCTCTTCTTATCCGTTACCATGTAGAGCAAGGCCGAGGGCGGGCCCTTTCGGGCTCGGGCCGCCCTCTCGCCCGCACCTCTGCGGGGCTTGCACGGACACCATTTAGAGTACGTAGGGGGCGGGGCATTCGTCTACCCGGGTACCCGCCCGGCGCGGCTCCGCTGCTGGGAGTCTGCCCGCCTAGCCCTTCGGTGGCTGTTGCTGCGGTAGCGCCTGGGCTGCGGCCCAGAGACAGCCACCATTTCGTCTCCCGTTGGCTCCTGGGAGGAGCTCCACCGCATCGCGGCCGAGCACTTTGCCGACGACTTGCCGGTCGACGAAGGGATGCTCTCATGGTCCAAAGCCTCGCTCGCAGCGTACTTTGAGTCTGGGGTGAACTCTCACGCCACCGCATCCCGGCCGAGCGAGCCTGGCCAGGGCCGCCTGTACGCTGTGAGCGACGTGCACACCGACAAACCGGAGAATATGGCCTGGTGGCGCCGTCTCGAGGAATGCGGCGCTCATCGAGCCGACTCGCTCATCCTGGCTGGTGATGTCTCGCACCGGCCAGACGTGCTGCTCGAGACGCTACAGATCGCGGCGCGCGCCTTCCGCACGGTCCACTTTGTGCCGGGCAACCACGACTTGTGGGTGCGCGGCGGCGGCGGCGGCGGCGGCGGCACCTCAATCGACAGGCTGCTGGAGATTGAGGCGACGTGCGCTCGGCTCGGCGTGTGCACGGCTCCGGCGCTGGCGGCAGGCGCCATCGTCGTGCCCATCCTGTCGTGGCACCACCCGTCCTGGGACACGGAGCCCGACATCTCTGGCTGGAGAGGCATCCCTCCCGTCGAGCGCTGCCTGATGGACTACCACATGACGCGCTGGCCTCCCGGCGTGCGGCAGGAAGACGGCTCCGCCGCGGCGGCGGTGGACGAGCTCAACGACAGGCCAAGAGCAGGCGGCGGCGGCGGCGGCGGCGACGGAGGCGGCGGAGGCGGAGGCGGCGGAGGCGGAGGTGGAGGAGGCGGAGGAGGCGGAGGAGGAGGAGGAGACGGCGGCGGCGGGCTGCTCGGCGCTGTCGAGGAGCTGCGCCGCCTCCACCCCTCGGCGCCGGTGGTGACGGCGTCGCACTTTGTGCCTCGCGTGGAGCTGTCTCCCGAGAAGCGGTACCTCTTCCTCCCCACCCTCGCCAAGGCAATTGGCTCGGAGCCGCTGCGGGCGAGGTGATCCATTGCGATTCACCTCACGCCCCTCTCTCTCTCTCTCTCTCACGCCTCCCTCTCTCTCTCTCTCTCTCTCTCTCTCTCTCTCTCTCTCTCTCTCTCTCTCTCTCTCCGATTTGACTCGATGTCATTCCATCAGGGTGGAGGCGCTGCGGCCGGACGTGCACGTCTTCGGGCACACGCACTTCGGCTGGCGACCGCCCCTTCGCACGCGCGCGTGGCACCGCAGCACCGCGGCCCGACACTGCGGCCTTGCCGGCTGTAGGGACGCGACCCTCGACGGCGTGCGGTACGTGCAAGCCGCGCTCTCGTACCCGGAGGAGCGGCGTGGCCGGCTTGGCACCATCGCGACGGGAGACCACTTCCCGCACGGCGGCGGCGACGAGCCGGCGCCCCTGCTCGTGTGGGACGGCGCCGCCCGCGAGTTTGCGCCTCGCTACCGCGCCGGCTGGAGCGCCTTCTACGACGCAAACCCGCGCCGCCCCGCTCTCACGCATCTGCTCGCCCCATACGTAGCCAGCCGCTACCAGGCGGAGCCCGGGGTGGGCGAGGTCGGCTGGGGGCCCGGAGTGACTCAGCCTGCGTGGCAGTTTGGGCCGCCGTCTACGCATTCGACGGAGCGTGCGGCGAGGGCGGAAAGAGAAGGCTGATGATTTTTCGAAGTCGGAGGTCACCTCTCGAGATGTGTGGTGGAATTGCAAGTCAAACAGGAGCACAGGGTGACACACGCGCCAGAACGGCTCGTCTCATCGCACAGCATAGCCTTCGCGCGAGAGAGTCATATCCTGCCCTAGCAACGCGTGGTATCGTCGATGGCGCTTAGATGCCGCCGACGGGGCAACGGGTGTCTCCGGCTCACCCAAAGCAGGAGGAGCACTTGCGGGCAGGAGCGGCTGCGTTGTCAGTCTCGATGAGCGGATTGTCGAGCGCAGCGTCGAAGTATGTCGCGCTGGTCTGAGGCGCTTTGACCGCCGCTTGGGGCACCGGGACTGGGACCAGGAGGGCGCCGATCCCGACGACGAGAGCGAAGAGGAGCAGGAGAGCTTTCATGGAGATGGTGCAGCTCGTCAAAGCCGAAACCGCCGAAAGAATTTTATGCTTGTGGTCGCTGCGAGAATTGGTGACAGACTCCCTAGGGTGGGGGCGACGGCTAGCGCACCACACACCTCTCCTTAAAATCCCTGTGTGGTGGCGGCGTGCCGTCCTCCCATCCCTCCCTTGCGCCTTGGGCTGTACGGTCTCTCTTTCGCTACGTGTTCAACGACGTTGAACAGTGTTTGACCACGGCGCTGTTCACAGCGCGCGCGGACGGCAGTTCTGCGAGTCCCGCTCGGCAGGACTTTTGTAAAGCATGCTTGTGGCAAGTTACAGACGCTAGTATCGACCTCAAGAAGAAGAAAGAAATCGACCTCAGAGACCCAAACTCGAATTAATAATTAAGGCTCAAACTATGGTCAAACAACCGTCAAACAAACAGGTCAAACAACGAAAAGAGACTGGTGCGACCGCTAGATGGCGCTTCCCGCCGGCCCCACAAGGCTGCCCAGCCCCAGTAGCACACCGGCCACGTACACCGTAGCGCTGGAGTCGGTCAGTGAGGCACTAGACGGGCTATGGAACCATGCGCGCGCCGGCCGGACAGGCTGCGCGCAGAGGCCGCGCCGCCTCGATTTCGCACCTCCGCTCCGCGGCCGACTGAGGGGCCAGCTCGCCCGGCGACAAGCCCAGCCATCGCCCAGCGCCGCGAAGATTGGACGGAGGGGGTGGCACTTGGAGCACTTGGAGGGCAGTCATTAACCTCACGCCCAGGACCGGGGAGCTAGAAGTCCTAAGAAGCGCACCCAGAGTTTTGGCCAGACGATCGGTGTCGGTCGGGTTACGGGCTAGAGAGCCCTAGCCCTGGGGGGTGCGCGGCTAGGTGCGCGGTCGCAGGGCCATAACACGGGTCTCCGAGGGTTAGCTCTGCGCTCCGGGTTTCCCCTAGCAGCGGAACGCCCCCTCTACTCGGAGCTAGTGATACGAGAATACTCTCCGAGGGTTGGCTCGGTGGCGCTGTGTTGGCTTCGCCGACGACCAATTTGCACTTGATCCGCAACAACAACAAATGATGAATGAGTTAGATTTGTTTGGGATTTGATATTTATTGTGGGTAGAAGTAATACACCTATTGGCAAGAAAAAAAGCAAAAGGAAAAGGTGCTTGTTTTTGGCGCTGTGTTGGCGCAGCCGGCGTGACAAGATTGCTTAGTGTGCACACGTGCTCCTGGCTTCAATGGGATTTGCGCTTGTCGCCACCGCGCTCTTCCCGGCCGCCGCTGCCCTCTCCGTCCAAGCACCGGCTCGGCGCCGCCTGGACGGGCCTCTCACGTGCCCAACGAGCGTGTGCGACTTCATCTGCGAGCCCTCCGAGTGCACCCTCCCGTCCTGCACCACGCTCTGCTCCGAGTGCTGCTCGCCGGCAGCGACGCCACCGCCACCTGCGCCGCCGCCACCTGCGCCGCCTGCGGGCTCGCCACGTTACGTGGCGTGTGGCAGGACCGGCCGGTGCGACGAGAGCGACCGGTGGGCGGCTCTGTCCGAGAAGCACGAGGTGCGGTGTTGCTCCGACTCGCGAATCGACGGCTGGAAGAAGAAAGATGGGTGCTCCGTGTGGAGCGAGTCCGACGACGATGAGATGGGAGGCGAGTGCCACCACAACAAGAACTTTGCGCAGGCCTCGACCATCTGCGAGGACGCGGGCGCACGCCTGTGTACTCGGGCGGAGCTGCAGGGGAATTGCGCACGCGGGTCAGGCTGCGGCCACGACCGCGATCTGATCTGGTCAGGCACGGAGAGCGAGGCGGCCGTCCCCCCGCCATCCTCGGCTGCTCCGCCGCCGCCCGTCGCCACCTCGCCATCCGCCTCCCCCTCCTCCGGCTGCGACAGCGACGGATGGTGCCCAAGTCCAGACGGGCCCACGCAGCAGTGCCGCGATGACGCTGGGCCACCGTGGGCCGACGACCTGGAGACCTACGGCCCTAACGTCCGCTACCACGACAACACGCCCGCCGAGCCCATCCTGCCGGCAGATGGCGCTTGCCCCGGCGCCCTTGCCGGTGCGTGCGCCTCCAAGGGCGTCAAGGCCGCCTACCTCGACGGACCGATCGACTGCGGCGGGCAAGGTTGGTTCTGTCGCATCATGCCGCAGCCCGGCTGGGGCGACTGCAGCTACGGCGACTGCAATTTTGCCAACTGCGCCACTCCTGATGCGGACGAGCTCGACACGGACGGCCACTGCCACGGCTCGGACGATGACAGCACGTACGGCTGGTGGGTGCGCGATCACCATTTTAGAGGCTATACAGGCACGCTCAACTGCTGCTGCGGGTGAGCGGCGCCCTTCGCCCGCGCCGCCTCCGACACCTTCCCTCGTCTCTGACCCGCGCCCTCTTTGCAGGTGGGGCGCGCCAATGTACGGCGTCGTCAACCGCTGTGACTACCGCAAGCCCGTCAGCGAGGCCGAGGTCTCCACCTCCCGCCGAGAGAGGCGCCTGGGCTCTACCCATGGTCTGCAGCCGAGAGAGTTCCACCGTAGGTTGCGACTTGCCGCGACGCAAACGAAGAGCACGACGTCGACTTCAACCCCACGTGCGACGCCCACCCTCTCAAGCCCGACCCCGTCACCAACGGCGGCATGTGCTGGACGGTGCGCAGTTTTGCTGCCAAGTGAGGTCCAAGGACCACATGAGGTCGACCTGAGGTCGACGCGGGCGACGAGGCGAGGGGGGTGTCCTGGTGAAAGGGCGAGGGAAGGCCAAGGCGTGGCGCGGCGGGCGAACCCGAGCGACATGCCGACATGTTCATTAAGTGTGTACCTACGGTCTTACGCCTGTGTGGCAGTACTGCTCTTCCCCCCGAGGCGACGTGGCTCCTGTCTCTGCGCGTTTGCGCGCGCGCATGCTCACACCGGCCTATGTACGTACGTATGTAGATTATGTGGATGTATTTTCTTTGGCGTGGAGATGCGAGGGTCGCCCCCCCTTGCCCGTGCCCCACCCCACCTTGTGTGTGTGGAGACGTTTTACCGCGCGGTCGCCAGCTCTCCAGCTCGTCGTTTGGTCACTGGGGGAGTTTTGTAGAGGTGTTGGGGTTGTTGTTGACCTCTTGACCGATGCATTGTTGTTCACCTACAAAGAATTTTACAACAAAGCTCCCGACCTCTCTCTCTCTCTGTAGACTGACTCTCCTCCAACGCAACCTCTTTCAGTCCGCCCCGGGCCGCGGATCGGGCCGGGGCAGGGGCGGGGGCAGCGTCCCGCTTCCGGGAATGTTCATATCATAAGACAAAAAATGCAAGTAGGAAGGCGGGAGAATAAATCCGGCTTCGCGGCCCGAAATTTTACTCGAATTCGTTTTTCCGGCCGTCCCAACAGCCGGCGGCGATCGATGGCGGACCCCGAGCAGCAGAAGGAGCATAAGGAGGAGGCGTCGCCCGAATCAGACAAATCGCGCTGGCGCACAGCACTGCTCGTCATTGCATTGCTTCTCTGCGGCTTGGGCGTCGGCGTGGGGGCTGGGCTGGGCCTCGGCCTCCGGGAGGACGGCGAGGGGCACCACAAGGCAGAGGAGGATCTTCAGGGGGTCCGCCCGAGCCTGCACCCGCACGACCGCAACGACCACCTCACGGGGGAGGCCGGCCATCGCCACCCCGGTGAGCAGGAGAGGATCCTGTGTCCCTCCGGGGACAACAACGTTGAAGAGGCGCTTGGGCAGCTCGAGAACCTCGGCAAACAGATTGAGACGTGCCACAAAAGAGTAGATGCAACAGCGCCCGTTTCAAAATGCCAGTCTTGCAGCGAGCCCTCCTCACCTACAGTATTATGTGACGCCGCCTCGCTACACCGCCTCGCTACACCGCCTCGCTTCGCTCCTTTCGCAGGTGGTGCGCTGACGTTGTCTCGGCCCTCGAGGACGAGTGTCCGTTTCGGTGCGCTCAACCGATGAGCACGCTGCGGCGGTACTACGCGGAGTGCGATGGTGTGCAGCCGCACCCCATCTACGAGCAGCTTGAAGCCAAGGGTACGTGTGAGCCGAGAGGACATCACCACAACCAAGGCGACCACGACCGAGGCAAAGCCAGCGGAGAACCACCTATGATGGACAGCGATGATGGACGGTGAGAGTCGGAGGCAGTGGGCTCCACTTAGAGCGGTGGCCGTGGTCGCCGCGCGCCGAGAGGCTCGGAGCCACCTGGTTATTTATTGGTTTGAGACACATTGATTGCGGCGTGACAACCGCTTTTGAGCTCCCCGCTTGAGCGAGGCAGAGTTGGTACTTCAGATCTTGAGAGGTATGAATGACGTAGTTGTGGGGGGGAGGGGAGGGGCGGCAGTGCATGTGTCGTGTGTAAGGGCACACGACGCTCATTCGGTCGTATCTATGCGGAAACTTAACCGGTAATCCGCCCCCGCATCTCGTGACGGCGCGCAACCCCGCGAACGACCGGGACGCACACGGTCGGGGACCGCGGTGGAGGCTCGACGATGGCGAGCGGGGGTGTGACGACGTGTACTGATGACATTTTAAGGCTTCAACGACGGAGCACGGAGGCGGAGCCGTCCCAGCGCGAGGCCCTAACGAGCTAGCACGGGCCACGGCGCGGCGCCACCCCGGTGCGGGTATTGACTGCAACCCGCTTCGCTCGCGCGCGGGAGACGGCGCGTTTTAGAGAGATGAGGGCATGAGCACTGGATAGGGTCGATTCCGCATGGTACGGGACCCCTCGCGCGATCGTCTCGCCCTCCCTCGCTGGGGGAACCCTGGGTCAAAGCGCGCTCATCACATGGCGTCGAGGCTGTTGCATCGCCCCGCCCTCCTCCGCGCGGCCCCGGCGGCGGCCGCGCGGCTCCGCTCTACGGCCGTTGAGTCCGCCCTCAGCTCGGTCGCCGACGGGCTCGGCCTTCCTAGCAAGTACGGGCACTACATCAACGGGCAGTTTGTTGAGCCGGCGAACGGACAGTACTTCGACAACATCTCTCCCATCGACGGGCAGCCCTTCATTCAGGCGGCGCGTGGGACAAAGGCTGACGTCGACGCCGCCGTGCTGGCGGCCAACACCGCTTACCGCACGACCTGGTCCAAGGTGTCGGTGACGGAACGCTCGAACATGCTCCTGAAGATTGCCGACCTGCTCGAGGAGAACCTCGAGCGACTCGCAACGATCGAGTGTGTGGACAACGGCAAGGCGCTGCGCGAGACAAAGGCGGCCGACATCCCGCTCTCAATCGACCACTTCCGCTACTTTGCGGGAGTGATCCGGGCGGAAGAGGGCGCTGCGTCGGAGATCGACGCAAACACTCTGTCGCTCTCCATCCAGGAGCCGCTCGGCGTCGTCGGCCAGATCATCCCCTGGAACTTTCCGATCCTGATGGCGGCCTGGAAGCTGGCGCCGGCGCTCGCGGCGGGCAACTGCGTTGTCCTCAAGCCGGCGGAGCAGACACCGACGAGCATCATGGCGGTGATGGAGCTCCTCTCGACCGTGCTGCCGCCCGGCGTCGTCAACGTCGTCTCTGGCTTCGGCGGCGAGGCGGGCGAGGCGCTCGCGACCAACAAAGGGATCGCAAAGCTCGGCTTCACCGGCTCAACGGCCACGGGGAAGAACATCCTGCATGCGGCGGCGGAGAGCCTGATCCCGACGACGCTCGAGCTGGGCGGCAAGAGCCCGTCCCTCTTCTTCTCCTCCGTCCTCGACAAGGACGACGACTTCCTTGACAAGGCGGTGGAGGGGGCGGTGCTCTTTGCCCTCAACCAGGGAGAGGCGCGAGGTAGCCGAGATCTGGCCGAGATCTAGCCGAGATCTGGCCGAGATTCGGCCGAGAGCCGCTCTAACCGGCCCAGCCCCCTCTGATTGCCGCAGGTGTGCACGTGCCAGTCTCGGCTGCTCGTGCAGGAAGACATCTACGAGCGCTTCATGGAGAAGGTCGTCGCGCGCACGGAGGCGATCAAGACGGGGGACCCGCTCGACGAGGCGACGATGATGGGGGCGCAGGTCTCGAGCTAATTAGCATTAAGTTTCGCGTCTAGCAGCTGAGCCGTGATTACGACGGTGGGGGCGCAGGTCTCGAGCGCGCAGCACGAGAAGATCGTCAACTACATCAACCTCGGCACCTCGGAGGGCGCAAAGGTGCTCACCGGCGGCGCGGCCAACGACGTGGTCAACGGCGGCTACTACATCAAGCCCACCATCCTCTCCGGCACAAACGACATGAAGATCTTCCAGGCGTCCGCCTCCGCCTCCCTCGCCGCCGCCGCCTCCCTCGCCGCCGCCGCCTTCGCCTCCGCCTCCGCCTCCGCCTCCGCCACCGCCTCGCCACCTCCACCTCCTTCCTCGCCACCGCCGCCCTCTCCTCCTGCCCCCCCCCCCTCCCCCCCGCCCCCTCTTAGGAGGAGATCTTCGGCCCCGTCACGAGCGTCACCACCTTCAGGGACGAGGAGGAGGCCGTCGCCATCGCAAACGACACGGTGTACGGCCTCGGCGCCGGCGTGTGGACGCGCGACGCCCACCAGGCGTACACGGTGCCGCGCCAGATCCAGGCGGGCCGCGTCTGGGTCAACTGGTGCCGCCGCACCACCCCGCCCACCCCGCCGCCCCCGGCCGCCCCCCGCCCACCCCCGCCGCCCCCGGCCTCGTGGTGTGTCCGCCCCAGCCTCCCGCCGGACACCCCCCCCTCCCCTCCCCCCCCCCCCCCCCTCTCCCCCACCCCCCCTCTCCCCCGTGCGGCGCCGCAGCTACCACGCCTACCCGGCGCACGCGCCGTTCGGCGGCTACAAGCAGTCGGGCTCGGGTCGCGAGACACACAAGATGATGCTCAACCACTACCGCCAGACCAAAAACATGCTCGTCTCGTACGACAAGTCCAAGCTCGGTGAGACGCCGCGCACCCGCAGGCCACGCTACACACACCTCCCGCCCCACCCGGTGTCCCCGCCCCCTCTCCACCCGCAGGCTTCTTTTAGACATCGCTTACTCGCGCCGGCCCCTGCTGCGGCCCGCCACGGCAAACGATGAGACGGCCGGCGGAGTGTCCTTCTCACGTTGAACGCGAGATGCGCCGCCGTTACCTCCTAGTGCACAGGACCACAAACAAAATCTCTCTCATGACCATGAGCATGACGAGAGCGAGCGCGCCGAGATACGGAAAGCTGCTCGCCCAGGGATGATGTCTTGATCCCGCACATGCTAGGAATACGTTTGGAGCTTTCCCCGGTTTCCCCGCCCCACAAAGCGTACGCGTACATTGAGCACACTTGAGAGACGCGTCAGTCCCCTATGACCTACCCCGGGTATATGCGCGGCGGGCGAACCGCAACCTGCGACGCGTCGACTCTGTCTTAGATACCTCTCTCCGAGGCCCGCACGCGACCACCCTCCGGGCTACTATGTGGGCCGTCCTGATTGCGGCAATCTGCTGCTCCCTGCTCGCCGCGATTGTCCTCGGTGTCCCTCAGCTAGCGTTTCCTTCCCCGCCGCTTGTGCCAACGCTCGCCTTCATTGCCACGGCCGGCACGTCCCTTGCGGCCGCGGTGGTGAGACGCCGCTCCTCGAGAAAGGCGACCAGCCTGCCACTGCCAGTTGCGCAGCCGATTAAGAGGGGGCGGAAGCACCGGTATGCGCAGGACCTGGCAGCGCAGGACCCGCCACAGGCGTACTCTATTAGATTATCCTCGATCTAGCTCTATACAGGTCGCGCCAGCCGAGCCGCGCGATGGAAGCCCACACGCGCCCTCACCTTGGGTCCTGCCCTCTCCTCGAGGCCCTCTCCTAACTAAATCCCGGATCCTGCTGAACAAGCTCCTCTTGTAGCTCGATCGGTCACACCGCCATCGCCGTCGGGGAGAGGGGCGACGACACTGCTTTGGCAGCGTGCACCTCAATCCTGTACCGTGTTTGTTATGACCCCCCCCAATGAACACACCAGTGAGGGTGGGCGAGACGATCGAGGGGTCCCGTACCATGCGGAACCGACCCTATCCAGTGCTCAAGTGCTCAAACAACGAGGGGGTCCCCGCTTCGAGCCCGCCGCCCGCGTTGGAGCCGCCGAAGAGAAGGGGTGCGCCCCCTGCCGCGTCCCATCGAGCGTGCCATGCCCTCTGTCCTTTCGGCCAGCCGCGCGCTCAAGGCGACCTCGAAGCTGCGCACGGCCACTAAGCACGCCGGCCGCAAACGCGACAAGTACTCGTTTGAAGCGACCGGCATCACGGTCGCCGGCCTGCCGGACCGCCCGCTCGACAGCGGCTGCCAGGAGCTGGTGGTACAGCTGGCGCGGGGGCCAAAGATTGCGAGCTGCTCCGTGGACGTCCCTGGCGGCCACCCCGCCGGCGGCGCCGTCAGCTGGGGCGAGCAGAAGCTCACGTTTGTCGCGACGCTCTACTCTTCCAAGACGGGCAAGGACTTTTCAGACAAGCGGTACCGCGCGTCGCTGCTGGCGGCGAAGCCGGTCGACCGGGGCGGGAAGCGGCAGCTGCGCGAGGTGGGGCACGTCGACTTCAACCTGAGCGACTTCGCCAACTCGGCCACGCCCCGCCGGCTGCAGCTCGAGGTTCCCCTCTCAAAGCGCGTCAAGGGCGGGGGCGGCCCGGTCCGGCTGGTGCTGCACCTGAGCGCGGCGCACCTGGGGACAGCGGACGAGGACGACGACGACGAGTCCATCTCGTCGGCGCTCTCGGGCTTCACCGACGCATCCTCGCGCTACACCGCCTCGGAGGCCCCCTCGGAGGGGACCCTCGAGCAGGACCTGTCTGGGTTTGGGGAGGAGGCGGGAGAGCTCGCAGAGCCGAGCGGCAAGTCGACGGGCCTCTCTGCGGCGGAGGCGATCGCGGCCGCGCGCTCGAGTCGCAGGCCCGCCGCGGCGCCGCCCCGAGAGACGCCGCCGCCGCGGCCGACGAGCGAGCGGCCGAGGTCGATGGCGGCTCTCTCGGCGGCAGAGGAGCCGGCGGCGGCGGCCGGCGCCGCGAACCCGTTTGGGGAGCCCGACCCGCCCGCGGGGGAGGGGGCGGGCGGCGGCGACGCTGGGAACCCCTTCGCCTCTCCGGACGACGACGCCCGCTCCGACTCGAGCCTCGCTTCGGCGGCGGCGGCGGATGCGCTCTTTGACCGAAAGGAGGAGGACACCGAGGATGAGGAGGAGGCGGCCAAGCCTCCGCCGCGGCTGGCGGCGGCGACGCGCACCGCGAGCGGCGGCGACCCGGGCGCGTCGGTGCGCGAGCGCATGGCCGCCTTTCGGACCGCCGCCGCCGCCTCGAGCGCTTCGAGTGCTCTCGAGCGCAAAGTGGCGGCGCGCGGCGGCGGCGGCGCTGCGGGCGGGAGGAGCACGTCTGAGAAGCTGGCGCAGATCCGGCAGCTGCAGGGCATGCGCGACGGGCTCGAGTCGCGCCTCGAGTCGATCAAGACCAGGAAGGAGGGCGGCGGCCTCGCCGCTGCCGGAGAACGCGTCGTCAAGACGACCTCCTTCGCTCGCACCGCGCGCGGCGCTGCCGCCGCAAGCGGCAGCGCGTCCGCGGCGGGCGGCGCGGCGGGCGGCGCGGCGGGCGGCGCAGCGCCCGCGGCGGCGCCCGCGGCGGGCCCGCCTCCCACGCCACCGCTGCCGCCGGCTGCGGCCGCGGAGGCCGAGACCGTCACCAGGGTAGCCAGCAGCGAGGAGTCTCTGCCCCGCCCTAAGAGGCGCGACGCGGAGCCGGCCGCCGCCGCTGCGGCCGCTGCCGCCGCTGCCGCCGCCGCCGCTGGCGGCGGCGGCGGCGGCGTGGAGCAGCAGCAGCAGCTCATCTCAATGAAGGCGCAGCTCGAGGCGGCGCGCGGCGAGGCGGACGCGGCGCGCGCAGAGGCGGAGGCGCTGCGCGCGGAGAGCCGGGCGGCCATCGAGGAGCGGGACGCGCTGCGGCGGGCGATGGAGGCGGATTCGGACGATGAGGAAGGGAGCGACGCGGCGCACAGCGCGGAGGTGTCGGCGCTGCGCGGCCAAGCGGAGGCGCTGCAGGCGCAGCTCGATGCCGTCTCCGCCGCGGAGAAGGGTGCGGCCGTGAGGAACCGGCTTCTGGAGGAGGAGCTGGCGCAGGCGCGGCGGCAGGCGGCGGCGGCGGTGCGCGGCGGCGCGGCGGCGGCCGACGGCGCGGCTGAGCTCGAGGCGCTCGAGGAGGAGCACGCTGAGATGGCCCTCCAGCTGGTGGAGGCCAAGCTGGCGGCGGCGGAGGCGGCCTTCGAGCGTGATGAGATGGGCGCGCGCGCAAACAAGGCGCGCGAGGCTAGTGGGTTGAGTAGTTGAGGAGCTCGTCCGTCCGAGCGTGCCGGCAAGGGGTGCCGTCGAGGCGCTGGTCGCAGCGCCCATGCGCATCCGGCCGACCCCTTTTCTCTTCCTCCGCCTCCTCGCCAGGCGCGTCGGGGCGGTCGGTCGGTCGCCGAGCAGCTGACGGCGCTCGAGGTGCGTTACGAGGACTTGCGACGGCAGTACGAGTCGGACATGCGCAAGATGATCGACCTTAAGCTGCAGTGCGCCGAGGCGGTTTCGCGCGCGTCGGACCTGGAGGAGGCGCTGCAGAAGCGGCGGTAGAGCGGATTAGCGGAAGCGGCGCACACGCCCCCGCATGCGAAGTGTCTCTGTCTGTGTGCGGGAGCGGGTGATCTTGGTCTTGGCGGAAGTGGTGGTTGGCCGACGCGACTGGGAGTACAAACACATGAATACGTGTGGTGGGTAGACATGGTTTTAAGTTCGAGGGATGTTGGAATAGTGCCGTCAGTGGCTGCACATGTCGCCCATGTATTAGAGACGACTACTGGGCTGGGTCGTTTTACTTTACGAGGCATTGTGGGGTTGGCACTCCCATCGACCCTCATGACCTCCTGCGGTCTCTGAGATGGACACCAGTGGGTGTGGGACCACAGCCAGGATACACTCGAAGGCTGGGTAAGCAGTAGAGGTCGATACTCGACGCGTCCCACATGGTCTGTGTCGCTGTCGGCACGCTGTCGACAGGACGCGTCGAGCGACACCGGTGGCAGTGCCACCCAGGAGTGGTCGGGCGGTCTCCCGTCATGAGAGAGCCACCATGTGATCCGTATGATGATTCCTGACAACCGCCTCAGTCAACTTTCGTCACAGTTCCCGCTCTGAGAGGAGCTGCGGGTCAGTTCGACAGCTGGCGCTGTGTCGCCGGCGTGCGGCGGCCTGCCTCCGGAGGTGCCTCTGAGGTGGACATTTTTTGGTCACCGTGAGAGAACGCGTTCGAATTTTCACTCCGGAACTTCAACTTCACACGCGCACCGGCCAGGGCTACAATAGTGCCAGTGAGGCGAAGGCGCGAGTCGGAAGGCCGACAAAATTCAGAATGTGTACCAGCAGCGCCTCCGGTACCTCGAGCAGGACCAGTTTCGTTGGTGGCGGCTCGGTGGGACGCATCGCGCGGCGTGACGAGCGGCGTGACGGTGGTCCTCTCGAGGACATCCTCCTGGTCCCTTCCCACCCTTGTATGCGAGGAGGTGTGATTTATCAAAACAACAGGACAGGGGACGGCGAACACGACCGGGGGGGGGCCGAGCGGGCGAGGAAGCGAACCGGGGTCGGCAAACAGGCCGGACCGGACCGGGTCCCCCCGAGAGCGGCGGCGAACGGTACGGAGGCCAGACGGGCCAGAGCAGCCGGGGCACACGAGCGAGTCACGTCACGCGAGAGCGCAGAGCGCGCACTTCACACAGGGGCGCATGGAGCGCAGAGGGTACCGAGAGAGTCCCATCGTGGGAGAGTCACGTCACACGAGAGCGCAGAGCGCGCATTTCACACGAGAGCGCAGGGGGCGCAGAGAGGCAGGCGCGGGCGCCGGCGGGGTTCACATCACAGATACGGAGGGGGAAAGCACGGGGGCTCAGAAGCCACCGCGTGCGTAGAGGTGTGAAAACACAGCGCAGCGTTCACTTTGTAGGGGATTTATGATGCCGGGTCCGAGTCAATGAACCCAGGCTTCGCCGGCTCTCTGGTCAAGGCGCGATCACCATTCTCGGGCTGGAACAACTGCACGGCGGCAACCTCCAGCCTGCATGCGACGCCGGTGCTTGCGCTCGCGCATCACAAGACCGGCACCTACTTCATGCTCGCCGTCGGCGCAGAGTTTTGTCGTGGGCGGTGCTGCACGCGGCTGAACCCTGACGACGCGGTGTGGCCGCTGAGATCCGTGGCTCGGCCCGAGCTCGTGCTGTCGGTGTTTGGACAGCAGGTGCGGTTGGCACCTTCCGACGCCCAGCACTACCGCAGAATCGTGCACCTGGTGCGCCCACCGCAGCAAGTAGTCACCTCTGCACTGATGTATCATGCATCTGGGCATGAGAACAACCCGTTGCTGCTGAAGCTCGAGAGGCGCTCTACCGATGCTTCGACGTGGAGCGTCGTGGCCGGCATTCAGGGTACGGTGTACTGCACCACAGAGACATCCAGCATCGATGTGGTGCAACTGGTCGGTGCAGGAATCAACCTCCTCAACCGCTCGTCGAACGTGCGGCACGCCGTGCTGCTGCGCTCGATGCACCCGAAGCAGCAGCTCCTATTCGAGGCGGCATGGAACTGGTGCGAGCTCTTCAACATGCAGCGGATCGCCGAACAGCTCTGTGGGCACGCGCACGCCGTCCAGCTCGATATCTCCTCCCGGAATAGGAATCCTTTAAGGAGCCCTGCACCGCACGTCAGCGACGCAGCAGGCAGCGTTCGCTCGCTCAACCTTACGGGCCTTGCCGTACAGCTCACACCGCCTGGACAGTCATACAGCTGGGTGACAGACGCGCGCGCCGCGTTGCACTCGTCGCTGCTCTCGGCGCACGCGAACCCGCCCCATGGCAATGGGAGCCTGTACGACAGCCTGTACGATGGGCGCTCTGCATTCAGTGGCCACCCAGAGCTTGCACTTGCACGCGTGTATGCACAGCTCGAAGCGCGGTACGCTGCGTTGCGAACGTGCACGTCTTGGCGTGAATGGGACGATGGGGGCTAGTCGAAGAGTGTGGGTAGAGCACGTGTGTTGGTAGCAGTGTAGAGATACGCGTAACGCGACGGAGGGTCCAGTACGGTACAGTACATACGGAGGGCGCAGAGTCCTCAATATTTCATCTAAGTAAGATCCATCCGAAAACGCTCAGACATGAAATCGTGTGTCGTGCTACGCAATGTTCACGCACACCATTCGAACGATAGGACGACTTCAAGAGTGACCGCTGGCAAAAGTGACAGCCTAGACCCTGAGGCCGCGGTTGGCCGCGGTTGTTGGGCATGGCGGCCTTGAGGGAGTCCTTAGGCCTGCTGGGAGATGTTGGGGTTGTAGCCGAGATCGAGCTCCTTGAGCTGCAGCCCCCCCTTGGCGCACGCCTCCACGAGGGCCGCGCAGCCAGCGTCCGGGTCCGCACTACCTTAGTACCTAATCACAATTGGGTGGTCCAGTTTGCTTAATGGGAGCGTACCAATAACGCACTGTACACGTTACGGTATCTTCACCCTTGCCTGGTCCTGACTCCTGTCAGGCTGTCACGTGTTGTCAGTAGTCAGTGTCACTTGTGCCCCTACAAAGGTATACAAAGTTGTACAATGTACCGCACCTCGCTGGCGGCTCGGTGGGACCGCATGGCTTGCGCTGCCAGAAGACGTAAACGTGACTCGAAAGGCACGTACGCCTAAGCGAGCTACAGGAGAACTATGGTCGGCAGTTGGTCGACAACTCCGCATGCATTGGCGAAAGGAGGCGTATCTCCGGTGTGCCTTGCGGAATCTGGGTATCAGAGCCTCGGTCCGCGTGTTCGGGGCGTGCCGGCTGGGTGGGCGTTAGGTGGGGTGTGGGGCTCTATCCGATCTGCTCTCTGGCACATGCAGCGTTTGTACGCGGTCTCACACGTTTTGCAAAGCTCCTGCTCCTCTAACTCGACCGACTATGGAGGACCCGTCGCCAGACGACGCAGGGCAGACGATGTGGAGGCGCAGGCGGAGCAGACGCGCAGGGCGAGACGAGGGAGGGAGCAGGACTTTGCGGAGATCAGCAGGAGGATGTACGAAGAGATTAGGAGCAGCAGGGACCCGAGGGACCATGTGGAAGACGGCTAGTGCTAGTCCCCCATCGGGAGGACGACCCCGGCTAGTCGCCGACCACACCCACAAAGAACCCTGCACAAAGATCGCACGGGCGGGGACCTGTTCCTTTTTACCCATCTCACAGTAGAGAAGTGTCCGTTTTTATTTTTTTACCTCAGAATTTCTCTGTGTAGGGCGAGTCTGCTTTCTTGTAGCAGAGAGCCGAGCTCTCTACACGAGAGTTCCTGATCAACGCCAATTGCGGCTCGGCAATGGCCAAGAGGTTCAATACCCGAGGTGTGTTGAAGATTCTGTGACTCACGCCCGCTGCTGCTGACGGTGCGTGGCTACTGTTGAGAGGGCCGTCGTGGTCAACGGCGTCAGTGAACGATATGGAGTCAACCTTCGCTAACGCAACCTCCTTTACGCCTCTCCAGTTGGGCGAATGGAATGTTAGTAATGTCACTCCAGGTGGTTGGCCATCCTCTAGTGGCGGCATGTCGGGGTCGTCACCATCAATGACGACGTTCTCCTCGAGCACGGGTCCGTCGTCATCCCCGGGCTCGAACGCCTCATACGGAGCCTCGTTGGCCTCGAGCATGAGCTCGTCAAGCTCGTCAGCATCACTATAGACTGAGCTCCCGTCGTCCTCCTCCAGCAGGAGTGGTGTTGGCGGAGGAGGACCGTACGGACCGCCCTTACCAGGGCCATAGTCGTTGTCGTCAGGCGGCAAATCCCAGCCCCGCGAGCGCATGCCAATCTCATGGCCACTCTGTCCGAGATTGGGTAGCGGACCGAGCTTGATGGGCCGCTTCTTGACCCAGTGCTTGAAGTACATCCACGCCTCCTCGAGATTGGAAGGCCCGTGCTCGGAGGGTTTCTCATGTGGCGTCGGGCGTGCGAGTGAGCGGTCGCGCGCGCATGCTGTCGTGACAGCGGCTAACGGTCGTGAGAGCGGCTAACCGTCATGACGTGAACTTTCCATACAAGTGCGCACACTTAATGATTTTCGACCGACCGCAGGGAAACGCAGGGGCGCCCCCCCCCCGACCGAGCTGCGAAACAACGGCGTCCACACCGGCCGCCGCTCGAGAAGCCCCAAAATTTTCTTCGGCGCTGCGCGCCGTTGCAGTCGTAGCTGTAGTCGAGTGTAGGTACACGTATGTTGCAGCCCAGCTATCGTGCCGCAAAAAGGTCCATGTGGCTAGAAAAAATGCTGCCGGTCGCCTCGAAAGCGCCCGCCGGTGTGTGTCCAAAGATGTAGCGCTACAAGTTTGGGGACGCATCCGACACACGGACGGGCAGGTTTTCGCGCTTCTATGCTGGCCAACGGTGATGACGCCGTCGCGTCACCGACGGCTCGTGCTTGCGTATGATAGCAACCCCTCGTCCGACGGCAGCGTCCTCGTGTCCGCCACTCCGCCCGCGCGGCATCATTACTGTCCGCCTACACCACTGCGGCCGCCATCGTCACACCCCTCGCCGCTTGAGCCTCCGGCCGCGTGCGGCAACTGCGCACCTACCAGCCCGCAATCGAGGGTGGAGAGTGGCCACGCGCTCAGTCACACTACTACGTGCCATCTGAGCACGTCTTGGCGTATACGAATGAATATCTCCCGATGCGTTCCGGGCCGCGAGCGGCCGAGGGGGTGCATTGTACCCACTCGCACGCCGGCACGAGCGCGGCGCCGCAGTGGGGCAAACGGGGCATCTGGGGCTAGCTCATCTATGAGCATCATCTCTGCCGCTTCTCGCCATCCCCGAGGAGCAGCGCGCCCGCGAAGCAGGTGAGTCACGGCCGCTGTCCAGCGAGCGCGGCGGCGGGCCTGGGAGGGAACCTCAAGGAGAAATATAGAAGTTCGAGATTCGAATCCTATTTGACAAAACCGGGAGGGTGAGCTGGAAGTGACGGGAGTACAAGAAAATCGCCAAAAATTTTCTTCGGCGCTGACGCGCCGACAAAGCTGGTGTCCGACCCCGACCGCCGGCCGAAACAGCCGCGTCCAGCCCGACCTGCGGCCGGCCGAAAATCATTAAGTGTGCGCACTTGTAGTCTCGTAGATGGGCGCGCGCGGCGCGGGCGCGGAGACCACGTCCACGAGACTAGTGCTCAATATCTTCGCTCAATCAGATAGTGCTCAATATTTTCGGCGCACCACGCAGGTGATTTCTGTGTATTGAGGTGAAGAACAGTCCGGCTCGGACTGGACACCGGTCACCGCGGCGCGTCGAGACATCCAGCTGTTTCACGGAGCTGAAAGTAGCTTGGTCCTCGCCTGTGGCGAGGCACTCCCACGCCTCACGGGGTCCCCCCTTGCCCGGGGGGGCGAGGGAACCCGAGCCTTGGCGGGCAGCGTTCAGCTGGGGCGAGCCTTGGGAGCAGCGTTCAGCTGTTCCCACAGCAGGCGGGAAGAAACCCACGCGAGGTTCTCGCCAGGTGCGGCGCACCCGGATCTCGAACTTCGAGCCGCTGCGTTGCGCGACGCCCCCGCGAACAATGGCGCCGGCGCGCGATGCTATCCTGCAGGCGGTCCAGAGAGGCAACGAGGCGGCGGCGCGGGCCTATCTCGCTGACGGCGGCGACCCGAGCGCAGCCTTCACCCAAGGCCCGGTTGCCGGGCTGACGCTGCTAATGGCCGCCTCCAACTTTGGCAAGCCCGGCATGGTCGACCTGCTCCTGGAGCACGGCGCATCCCTGGACGCGCGGGCGAGCAACGGAATGACTGCGCTCATGGCGGCCGCCTACTTCGGCGAGGCAGCGATCGTGCGCAAGTTGCTGCGGGGCGGGGCAAACACTCGGCTGCGCAATGAGAGCGGGCTGACCGCGATGGAGATTGCACACCGGAGGGGACACGCCGAGTGCGTGAAGGCCTTCAGGCCGCAAGGAGGCCACAAGGTGCTGCCCCGGGACGTTGTGCACGCGGCTGATCGAGGCGAGGAGGAAGGGGTGCTGGTATGGCTTGATGACCACGGCGGGGATTTGGCTGCACTGGACGAATGGGGCACCACCAACTCGCTGTTGATGATCGCCGCCAGTGGAGGCCACGAGCGGCTTGCCCACACGCTGCTGCTACGTGGCGCGGCGATCGACCAGATAAACTTCGACGGCTCGACCGCGCTGATGCTCACCGCCAACGCCGGCCACGAGGGAATGGTCGACCTGCTACTGGGACGTGGCGCGGAGATCAACAAGCAGGATAGCGACGGCGGAACCGCGCTCATAAATGCCGCCTACCACGGCCACCCCACCGTCGTGCTCCGCCTGCTGCGTGCGGGCGCTGATATGGCGACGCGCGATGTGACCGGCAGGACGGCGCTGCAGTATGCAAAGCTGAAGGGCCACGCCGAGTGCGAACAGGCCATCAGGACACACCTCCAGGAGGTGGCGGGTCGGCGCGCTCGAGCCGGCGATTGGAGTGCCGAGCAGAGGAGAGAGTTTGAGGATCTGCTGGCACGTTTCCCCAAGCTCACGGAGGAGCACTGGGACCGCATCGCGGAGGGGATGGATGCGTACAGCAAGACGCGCGACGAGTGCGTCGCGAGGTACGTACAGATCTCGGCGGCCGAAGACTGGAAAATGCCACTGATGCTCACCCAAGAGATCAAGATGGCGGCCTTGGCAGGCGATGAGGCGACGGTCCTGGCGTGGCTCATTGATGGCGGGCGTGGTAACGGGATCTTTACGCTTGAGGTCGGAGACTGCAGCGGCGAGGTCACGCTGCTGATGATGGCCGCAAACTATGGCCACGAGCGGATGGTCGAGATGCTTCTGCGGCACGGCGCAGAGATTGACATGCACTCCGGCGGTAGCCACCGCACGGCGCTGATGGCCGCCGCCAAGCAGGGCCACGAGCTGGTGGTCGTCTTGTTGCTGCGGCACAAGGCGGAGGTCAACCTTCGGGACGGCGACGGGATGTCTGCGCTGATGCTTGCCGCTGTCCAAAACCATTCCGCCATCGTGCTCCGGCTGCTGCAGGCGGGAGCTGATCTTGCGATGCGCTCTCCTTCGGGACTGACGGCGCTGGATTATGCTGAGAGTGAGCATCAAAAGGAGTGCGTCCGCGTCCTCTCTGCATACGAGCTCTCTGTGGCGGCTAGGGCGGCGGAAGCGTCGGGAGCTCAGTGTCCCAACGTCAAGCAGTCGCTCGCCGAAGTCATCGCCGAACGGTGGGCAGAGGGGATGTTGGAGTGTAAGGTCCCCGAGGAGGTCTGGAGGGCGGCCGAGCGAGGCAGGGAGGCGACGGTTGAGGCTTGGGTCGACAGCGGCGGCCAGATGGACGCAACGTTCCTGTGTGACGGCGTGGACGGCACCACGATGCTGATGCTTGCCGCCGGCAACGGCCATGAGCGTCTGGTCGAGACGTTTCTGCAGCGCGGTGCGGACCTGGGGCTGTGCGACTCGAGGGGGAAGACGGCGCTGCAGTATGCGAGGCAGGCAGGCCACACCGAGTGCGCAAAGCTGATTGAGGAGCAAGCGACGGCGGCGAGGGCGGCGAAGGAGACGGAGGCGAAGCGGCGAGGCGAGACGCCTTTTGGCGGACATGGAGGTTGGGCTTTGTCAGCGTCTCATCACACACCTGGTTGTGCCTAGGCGACGCGCTTCTGGCGGAGCTCGAGGCGGAGAAGGAGGCGGAAGACAAGAAGAAGGAAAGCAAGAAGGGAAAGAAGAAGAAGAAGGGGAAGGGCAGGGCAGGGTCGTCGCAGGCGCACGGCGAGGCGGCGGGTGAGGCGGACTTGGCAGAGGTGGATGCAGAGGTGGCGGCGCCCGAGGCGGAGAAGGAGGCGGGAGTGCCTGTCCGCTGCCTCGGCGAGACGACGGCGAGGCTGAGTGTAGTGCCAGAGGGACAGGCACTAGAGGAGCCATCACCGGAAATTGGCGCCGCTGCTCCGGCCGACTTCGCCGAGTCCTTTGCGCCGCCATCGGATTCGCCGTCGCAGCTTGCTGCCGCTGCCCCCGATGAGGACTCGATCGGACCCGAGGACCCGAGCTCCGACTCCGTCCCCGACGATGCGGTGTCGGGAGAGCCTCAGCCAGCGGCGGCGACCGTCTCGCTCGCCGACGCCGACTTCGACACTGGCCGGGCGGTTGTTCCTGAGTCCACCCTCGGCGGTGAGACCACATGCATCGTGTGCTTCACCCGGCCGAAGACGCACATCGCCGTGCCATGTGGGCACCAGTGCGCGTGCGGCGCTTGCGCGGATCGGATGCGCGAGTGCCCGTACTGCCGCGAGCCGGTGATGATGTGGATGCTGCAGCGCCTCGTGTAGGAGATGTCATCTGCGTCGAGGCGAACGCGCACGGCAATTGGGGAGCAGGTAGATCGATAACGGCGGAATGCAGGCCGGAAAAAAGAAAGAAAAGGGCGGGATGGGAGTTGGGGGCGCAATCCCCACGAAATTCTTTTATGCTTGCGCGTTGGGCCGCTCTCGCGCGGAGTGGTCACCGCAGTCGCACGAGCTCTTCCAGGCGCGGCGGCGATATCTCTTCCGTGCATGCTGACCATCCCCACCCTCTCGGCCGCGCACAAGAAGGGAGTCCACACCATGCAGGCCATCGGTCTTCTCGCCGACATGGGCCACGATGGCACCGCTGCGCACCGCGGGCAGGGCGTGCAGCGCGACATGCCGGGCGTCGCTTGCAATGTGACCGGCGGCGGCGGCCGCTGCGAGCAGCTCCAATTTGGACGATACACCGCCGTCGGCCATTGCGACTGCGGCCCGCACGGTGTGTGCGAGCCGCTGACGGGAGAGTGCCTCTGCCAGTGGGGATGGGCAGGCAAGCAGTGCGAGGTGGCCGCCTTCCCAGCGTGCGGACTGGGGGCGGAGCTCTCTCGCGCGCAGCTAGCCGCCTCGTGCGCCTCAATGCGGCTGCTCTCGCCTGTCGCGTGCGCGTGCCTCGCACAGTGCCTCGATGCCGGCCACGAAGTCTGCGCTCACGGCTCGATGGGGTCTGCCCCTCCCCGGCCTCGGGACGCGCGCCACCTCCCCCAAAGCTGCTCGCGTCGACGCCCGTCTCCCTCCCCGGCAGGTGCAACCTGCCGTGGCCGCGTCCCGCCAAGCGGGCTCGCTTCCACGAGTCGCTGAGCTGCGTCGACTTCCCGCCCGCTGTCGCACCTTCCTCGGCCGTGCCACCGCCTGCGCAGGCTCCGGCCGGACCTGCCTTGGGGGGAGGGGAGAGGAGGGGAGAGCCGCGGAGAGGCGGCCAGCGGCGGGCCGACCCCCCCCCCCCCCCTTCCTATCCGCTCGCAGGCTCGGCTGACCACTCTCGGACGCTACCTCGCGGGCGGTCGCGCCTTTGACTCGTCGGCGCCCGCCGCTCCGGCAGAGCTCCCGGCGCGCAAGCACTTGCGCGGCGTGGCGGGCGGCACCCGCCATGCGAACGCTGCACGTGCGGGCTCGTGCGAGGTAGGCGTACAGCTCGGGCACCAAGAAGGACGGCAGGCCCGATGGCTCCGCTTGGGTCGTCCCGTCCCGCTGCCCGCACAGCTGCTCCGCGCGCGGCCGCTGCCTGCGGACGCCCGCCTCACCGTCTCCCGGCGGAGGGCGGCGCCTTGATGAGGCGTCGTACCGCTGTGTCTGCGTCGACGGCGCCTTTGGTGACGGTTGCGAGAGCATCTGCTCCAACGATTGCTTCAACGGCTGCTCTGGCCACGGCACGTGCGTGCACGGCTGGTGCCAGTGCGACGCTGGCTGGTATGGCGTCGACTGCTCGGACGCCGCGGGGCTCCAGTACAGGTCCTCCTCCGCCCCCCCCCCTCTCCCCTCCCTCCCTCCCCTCCCGCTCCACCTCCCTCGCAGAGGCTCACGCCCCTGCGGCCGCCACGCAGGCGCTCGGCTCTCTCCACCGACCCGATGCAATTCGGAGACGGGACGACCCGCGCGCAGCTGAGCGTGCTGCCGGTCACGCTGCGGCCGCACTTGCGTCGGCTCCGCCGATCCGTCTACGTCTACCAGATGCCGGCGTCGGTCAACCGCGCCGCCGAGGCGTGGATGTGGAGGCAGTGGGGCAAGGACGCCGGCCGCGGCTGCGACCCGGTGCACAACCGGCGCATTTACTCTGCCCAGTCCCACTTCGACGCCCACCTGCTGCACGATGACTTCACGCGCACGCTCGACCCCAAGCGCGCGTCGCTCTTCTACGTGCCCCTCTTTCTCAACCAGCGCGTGCCGTGGGGCGCCGACCTCAACGCGTCGATGAGCCGTGCGCTGGCTCCCTCGCCCTTCCCGCAGGCCCGCGACCTTCCCCCTGAACCTTCCTGTCCTGCAGGCGCGCTGCAGTACATCCGCACCCGCCACCCGTGGTGGAACGCCTCCTCCGGCCGGGACCACGTGTGGTTCGTGTTTGGCGAGCGGCAGACCTGCCTCGTGCCGCCCGAGATTGCAAAGGCCTCCATCATCGTCGGCCACTGGGGCGACGAGGACTGCATGTCCCCCGACAAAGACGTTGTCGTGCCGACCATCACACCCGTGCAGCACGACTACCCGCGTTTCGTCCAGGGGCGCGACGGCACCCATTCGCTCCAGCGCTCGATGAGGGGGTCGGCCGAGCTCCCCCTCGGCCGGTGCGGCCCGCCCGCCCGCTTGCTCCCCAAGAAAGGGCTGGAGGCGGGGGCGGCGCCTCGTCACCGCCGCCGGCGCGTGCCTGCAGGTCGGGGCCGCTCGTCTTCTTCGCGGGCGGGATCACCTCATTTGGCGCGTCGCAGGACAACTTGCGCAAGGGCGGCATTGACTCGCAGGAGAAGCAGGAGAAGTGGCTCAAGCGCGTGACTGCTGACCGCTGCGCGCGGCCAGACGTGTCGTGCCGCCAGGTCTACTCGATGGGGGTGCGGCAGGCGATCTGGCGGGAAAAGCTCTACGCGGAGCCGGACATGCGGATCGTGTCGGCCGGCGTGCCCGACTACTTCGACGTGGTCACCAAGGCGCGCTTCTGCATCCACACCGAGGGGAACGGGTGGGGCGCGCGCGTGGTGGACTACATGGCGATGGAGTGCCTCCCTCTGATGGTCAACGACCGGATGATCTTCCCGTATGCCAACGTGCTGCCGTGGGAGGACTTTGCGATCCACCTCCGCAAGGACCAGATCCCCGCCCTCGCCGCCACTGTCCGCAACATCTCGCAGCGCCGGCAGGAGGAGATGCGCACCGCGCTGCGGCTCTACAAGGCGGGCTTCGTGTGGTGGCGGCCCGACGGCGCGGCCTACGAGTTCACGCTCGCGGCTCTCGGCCAGCGCGTCGAGCAGCTCGGGCTCGGCCGCGCCGCCAGGCAAGCCCGCGCGAGGAGCTGAGTACGACCGTGTGGACAGTGCGGCGCTAGACTAGTTTGTGTGGCTGTGGAGACATGCGGTTGAGTGTGTGCGTGAGACCGTTGTGTGTTACGTGTTACGTGACCCCCCCCGCCCGCCCCCCGTGCTGTCTGCTGAACGGACCGCATTGGCGCATTGTGATATCACTGTGAGTTTGAGGTTTAATTGTGGACAAAAGCGCCCGCGGCGCGCGCGCGCGCGCGCCCGTTCGGTTCTCGTCGAATTGGAAATTGAGGATGTCCGATGGCCCCCCGGGCCGGCGGGGGCCGGGGGCCCGCCCCGCCGGCGGGGGCTCATTCGCAGCTTTCCATTTTCATTCGCACTTTTGCCACACCCACAGACTTTTCGGCACAGACCTTCCGCTCGCCGTTATCTTTGCGTCTTGGCGAGTGCACATACACAAAACAATTCAAAGTCTACACCGGCGCGCGGATGACCGGTATATACTACCGCAGCGGCTCACTCGCACGGCACGCTCCCACAGGGCCAGCTAGCTGCCCAGAGCCAGACCCGAGACCCCGCCAGCGGCTCGCGACACGCACAGCGCACGCAGCGCATACGCACGCACACTCGCACCCCAAATGAGCCTCGCTCGACGGCACGCGTGGAAACCAATGCCATGCTCACCAGTAAGCAACCGCTTGTTCCTCCTCGATCACGCGCGGTAGGCCTCCCAGATGCTCGCCCACTCTCTCGCAGCCGAGAGCAAGCCAGCGCTTGAGCGGGATCCGCGCGGGTTGGTTCGAGGCAAGCAAATCGCCCACTGATTGCACCAGTGCATAGGAGCCGCAGTCCGACACCTCGTGCATTGGGACGGTGTCGTAGACGTCGAGCGAACGGAGGGCGGGGCACTTGTCGATCACCGTGAGGAGGGCAGCAGTACAGACGCCGGGCAGCTTGTGCGCGCTGAGGGCGGTGAGGTTGGGGCAGGCCTCGGAAAGGAGGGAGAGAGCCGCGCTGGCGTCGAGGGACGTGCAGCCGCCGATGCCGAGGTGGGTGAGGGACTGGCGGTTGGGCTCGAGCATCGCCCGCAGATCAGAGAGGTTGAGCGTGTCGAAGCCGCCCAGGCCGAGCATCCGCAGGCCGGGCGAGTGCCTCCTCACGGCTGCGCGGACGGCGGGCACGTCGCGCGCGCACCCTTGGGCGTAGCAGAGATCGAGCACCTCAAGCTGCGGCGACGCGTTGGCGAGGGCGGCGAGGCCCACGCCGGTGAGGTCCGTGCAGCTTGCGTTGAGGCGCGAGATGCGTGCGCCCGCGGCGGCGAGGGCTCGCGCATAGCCGTCGTCGAACCCAGTGCCGCGAACGTTGAGGTGCGTGAGGGTGGGGGCGAGTTTGGCGATGGTCTCGGCCGCCAGCTGCCCTTCGTGGTCTGAGGAGTGCGTCAAGGCGACCCGGCAGCCGCAGAGGTCCAGCGATTGAATGGGAGGAGTGGAGGAGAGCAGCCAGGTGACATCTTCGACGCCGAAGCGAAGGTAGCCTCGGAGGGAGAGGCGGGTGAGGTGAGCCGGCGGAGCAAGGCCATGGAGGTATCTGGCTCTCAGGGCGTGAGAGAGCTCGAGGCGGCACAGGTTGCTCTGGGCGAACCGGGTCGCTGCGGCCGGGCCGCCGGTGGCGTCGGACAGGAACTCGCTCCCTCCACCAGTGACGAGCGTGGTCAGGAAAGGGCAGCGGGAGAGGGCGTAGCCAACGATCGAATACTCGGCGGCGATGGCGGACTCGGTGTCGTAGGCGGAGAGCACCTCGAGCCTGCGCAGCGGCTCAAAGAGGTCGATGGGGCTCGGCGTAAAGATTATCCCGGGACGCGGTCCAAACTGGACTCCTTTTGCGCCGTGCAGGCAGTCGCTCAGGGGGTGGCCGAGGATGCGGACGAAGGTGACGTCCAGGCGGCGCAGCGTCTCTCCGCAGGCGCCGAAGGCGGCGCGTAGGAGGAACGCGTCCTTGATGCTCGCCCCTGCAATGTCGAGCTCCACCAGACGGCACCCCCTCGCAGGGAGTTCGAGCGTCAGATGGTGCGCTCGAACGGTCAGCGAGCGCACGATGCCAGCTTTGACCCACCGCATCGCAAACCGCACCCTCTCCGAGATGCTCGGCCTGTCGAAGCGCTCCGCCTGCAGCGTTAGGCTGCGCCAGTGCACGGGGTCCGCGACGAAACCGCGCATCGTGCGACAGGTCGCGTGCAGCGCGAGCCGGTCGCGAAACGAGAAGACGTTCTCGAGCAGCAGCCCGACGAGCTCGATCGACGAGAGCACTCGCTGCGACGCCGGCTCCTCGGCCGGGTTGACGGTGTCGAGCATATTGTGTCGTGGACAGCTTTATGCCACAGGTAGGTGCACCCCAGCTGTACCCCGCCCGACCGGCGTGGGTTCGGCTCTACGGTCAAGGGGGGAAGCGATTTGCAAGCTGCCGATCCCAAAAGATTTTTTGCTGGGTTCAAAATCTCTGAGCCCCACGGCTGGAGCCTGAACCTGGCTCCGCGCTAGAGAAGAGGAAAGAGCAAAAAAACCTCCGAGAAACCCAAAGGCCGCTCCTCATCGCAAACCCTGTCAGCAGAGTCCTCCTACGGGAATGTAAGAGCCACGTACACTGAGAGAGAGAGAGAGAAGCGTGCACGTACCCAAAAAAAGAAAAAATCCACGCTTCTGGCTTTCGGCCGAACATCCGCCTCCCCGCCGCCTCCCTCTCCACCGCCTCCAATTTATGACGGCGACGACGGTGCCGACACTGGCTCTGCCGGGCGGCGGAGTAATGCCGGCGATTGGCTACGGCACCTGGCTCTCGAAGCCGGGCGAGGTGTACGCGGGCACGAAAAAGGCGATAGAGCTCGGGTATCGGCACATCGACGAGGCGTGGGTGTACAAGAACGAGGCCGAGGTAGGCAAGGCGATCAAGGAGGTGATCGCGGAGGGCACGGTTGCGGCGCGCGCGGACCTGTGGATCACCTCCAAGCTGTGGCAGTGCCACCACCGCACGGAGCTCGTCCGGGAGGGCTGCCTTGACTCGATGACGCAGTTGGGCGTAGAGTACCTCGACCTCTACCTGATGCACTTTCCGGTGGCCTTTGTGCCCGGCTGCGACGAGGCGGTCTCGGCCGACCAGATGGACGACGTCCCCATCGAGGACACGTGGAGGGCGATGGAGAAGCTGGTGGACGAGGGGCTCGTGCGGCACATCGGCGTGAGCAACTTCGAGATTGCGGAGCTCAAGCGTGTGCAGGCGGTCGCGAGCAAGCCCATCGCATGCAACCAGTTCGAGACGCACCCGTACTACCAGCGCCGCGAGCTCTTCGAGTACTGCCAGTCGCACGGGATCGCAGTCACGGCGCACAGCAGCATGGGCGGCGGAGCGAACGCGATGAGGAAGTTCCACAAGAGCCCTCCGCTGACGGACGACCCGGTGATCGGCGAGATCGCCGCCAAGCACGGCACCTCGCCGCACGTCGTCCTGCTCGCGTGGGGTCTGCGGCGCCCCATGGCCATCATCCCGAAGTCGGTCACGCCGAAGCGCATCCAGGCCAACAAGGACGAGGTGCTCGCGCTCCAGCTCGACGAGGACGACCTCGCCAAGATCGCAGGCCTGGACAAGCCCGGCCTCGACGGCTGCTACTGCCACCCGCGCACGCCCTGGCTCGGCCGCTCCGAGTTCACCGGCGACACCAAGCACTACTACGGCTGAGGCGTGAAGCTGAAGTTGATCGCGGCTTGCCTCAGGCGCGGTGACTCGTGGCTCAGTGAAGCTCTCTCGTCTCTGCGACCCAAGATCGTCAATCTGTCGCTCTCTCGGCCGTCGGTGGCTCAAAATCGCTGTATGCCCTGGAGGCTGGAGCGCGTTGTTTGAGCGCGTCTATTTATATCGCGTTTGCGTTTCTCGTATTGCTATTTGATTTAAATTGTTCCCATGAGCGGAGCGCAAGTGTACACACACACAACACTCTTGACACTTTGCAGGGATCTGTCGAGCCGAACACACAGTGGGAAGAGCCGAACGGCATGCGCTGCGCTCCTGACCCTCTCCTGAGTCCTGTAGCACAAATCAGGCATACACATCCTGCAAACACATCCTGAGAATGTGCACACACAAGGGCTCCACACCGCACCAGCGCACGACGTGACGGAGCACCACGCCACCCACAGGACTGCACGCAAGGAGGCACCAGCCGCTTCTCATTCGCCCCCTCAGACCTGCGCGAGGCCGAGCAGCGTGAACTCGGCCATCCGCATGTAGTCGATGGAGCGGTGCGACGCCTCGCTGTCCGAGTCGCTGTCGCCGTCGCTCTCCTCGTTCATGCTCTGCAGCAATTCGCTGACTGCGCCTAAGGGTAGGGGTTTTGTGGGTTGGGGTTAGGGTTAGGATCAGTCGTGCCTGCAGCAGGTCGCCAACTGTGCCAGAGAGGGCAACTGCCGTGCCGGCTGCCGCGCCGCCCTCCTCGTCCTCCTCGTCCTCCTCGTCGTCCTCCTCCTCCTCCTCCTCGATGAACTCCTCCTCCTCCCACTCCTCCTCCTCCTCCTCATCCCCACTCGGAGAGCCGCCCCCCTCCTCGCCCTGGCCGTCCTCGACCCCGCCTCCGACAGCACCGACCGTCTCCTCCTCGCCGGCCCCCTCCTCCTCGCCCTCGCCCGCCTCAAAGTTGTGGTTTGCAGGCCAGCACCCCCAGCGGCCAACCGCCTGCACCTTGTCCCCGACCAGCCGCGTGTGCCGATGCAAGTCACTGAGCGTCAAGCTCCAAGGGCTCACGCGCGCGTCGCGGCGGACGCCGTCCTCGATGCTCGCCTCGGCCGCAAAGGCGGGACAGTCCCGCAGAAGCGTGAGCAGGGCGCGGCGCACACGCGTCGCACGTGCCTGAGCGAGCGCCTCGCCGATCGCATCGGGAGCCGCGGGCTGCGCAAAGCCGTGGATGCGGAGCCGCAGCGTGGGGTGGCGCTTTAGCAGCACCGCCACCCGCGCGACCGCCGCGAGAGAGCCGCTCTCCAGCTCGTCCGACGCAAACTGGAAGTAGATCCGCGGGAAGCGCGGCGGGTACTCGCACAAGTGGAGCCGCTCGAGGCTCCACGCGCAGTCGGTCGGCGCGAGGGACAGGTCGCCGCGCACGTTCCGCGCCTCGAGCAGCGCCCGGCGGCTAGCGGCGCACCAGCGTGCAACCTGTGGCTCGAGGATCCGAGCATGCGTGGCGGTGCTCGCCTTGGCAAGGCGCGCCGCTGCAGCAGCCGGCATCAGCCGGACGACATCGAGGAGGGCGTCCGATTCCAGAAGGGCCTCGACGAGAGAGAAGGAGGGCTGGGCTGGCGTGTCGCCTGCGCCCGGCAAGGTATCCCCGGGCCTTTGAAGCATCGGCCGCCTCGCACGCCTCGTCTTCGGCCACCAAGCAGCCAAACTCGGTGGCAAACCCCGGAAAGTGCGGCAAAAATAAGCGCTTGCACGTGTAGGCGCGCATCTTAGCCAAGGCTCGCGCCCACACGTGTAGGTGCTTGTGTCAGATACGCGCCCACACGTGCAGGTGCGAGCCCTAGCTAACATGAGCGCCTCCACGTGCAGATGCGCATTTGGCGAGCTCGAATATAAGCGTCTACTCGTGCAGGCGCTCGTTTTAGCTAAGAAACGCGCCTACACGTGTGGCCGCGTACATTGGCTTGAGGTGATATACGCACTTGGTGTGTGATCGATACATTTCTAACACCTTAGGTCTCAGGAGAGCTGGAGAGGGCCGCAGAGGTTGTATTCGAGTGGAAGGCTGAGGTGGGAGGTCAGGTAGGGGTCTGGGCGGCCTACACGTGTGCAGTCCTTTTTGGGTTGACAGTTGCTCAGTGCATGACTTGCCCGGGAGGGGGGAGGGGGGTCGAGGAGACTACAGTTATACGCGCGGCCACACGTGTAGGCGCGTTTCTTAGCTAAAACGAACGCCTGCACGAGTAGACGCTTATATTCGAGCTCGCCAAATGCGCATCTGCACGTGGAGGCGCTCATGTTAGCTAGGGCTCGCACCTGCACGTGTGGGCGCGTATCTGACACAAGCAGCTACACGTGTAGGCGCGAGCCTTGGCTAAGATGCGCGCCTACACGTGCAGGCGCTTATTTTTGCCGCACTTTCCGGGGTTTGCCACGCCAGCGTGCCGGCTCCTATCTTATGGATACTCGAGTATCTAGGTAGGGGGTTCGGTGGGTGTCTGCCGGTGACACCCTATGTTTATAAAATGAACTCGGGGGCACGGGACGCGGCACAAACGGGGCACAAACGCCAGGCTACAATGACACCCTATGCAATAGGTAGGTAGGTCCGGTTTTGACCGCCCCAGAGGGCCCTGCAGCCAACAGGTAGGTACCCCCGGGCAGGTGTAGTTTATTTTTGCTTGGCCGGACGTCATGATGAAATTCTGCAAAAACCTGGACGGCCCTTGCCCCTACCTACCTACCTACCTACCTACCTACCCTCCTTAATGGGAAACTAAAAAAGAAATCAGGATGGGTGAAGGTGGGGTACCATACCAACTAAAAAGTGATGGCTGGTGGTACTCTCCTGCAACCACAGTCCTTCCTGAGACATGGCAGGCCACTCTCAAGCCCTACAAGCACCAGATCACCCATTTGGGGAGGGTTGACATCGTGATTTTCGCGGAAAAATTCTTTTTCTGCTGTGAAAATTCCAGCGTGAAGAGAGGGAAAACTCCGACGGGAGGGCCCAGACCTACCCTACCTACCCCGTCATGACGTACGGCCAAGCAAAAATAAACTACACCTGGCCGGGGTGGGGCGCGCGCGGGGGCGGCGGGTGTGCGGGATGTCTGTGGGCCCGAGAGCGATATGCCATGTCCGCCTTGCGTTTGTTTCATAACATCGAAGGCTAAGCTCAAATGAAAATAAACCTCACAAGAAAACTGCCGAGAGGCAACCAGCCCGAGTCCCTTCCAGCTACCGACGCGATTCTCAATGGCACTTGCAAATCCACGTACCCGCGGCCGCGGGCGCTCGCTGCCATCAAGAATCACAAGGACTGGTACGCGCACCAGGAGCTCGTCAAGGCGCGGGATGTGCACGTCAAGAACAACCCGTCCCTCGGAGACAGCGCCGTCAACAACCGCGAAGCCGCGCGCTTCGTCTCCGCCTCAACGCCTTTCGCCGGCAAGGCCTTCGATGTCCGTGTCGACGGTACGTACGCCACCGCCCTCTCCTCCGACACCCTCCAGGACGAGCTCCAGCGGAAGCTCGGCCTTTGGCTCTCCGCGGCGCTTCCCACCCTTCGGGTCGCGCTCGAGCGGGGCATGCCAGTCGATTTCTTCGGCGACTACCTTTACAAAACAAGGCCCACCACCGGCGGCCCCACGACGGCGTCCTCGCCGCCTGGGCGGACGCGATGCGCGCCCCGGCCAACGCGCCGGTCGTGCACGGCGACAAGGAGAAACCAGAGCTCACCCGGCAGTACAACGAGGGGTACAAGACTGACCTCGCAGAACCCCATGCGGGACCGGGGGGGTGCGATGAAGTGAATGAAATCAAGCTCTGGACGCCCCTCCTCAAGACCTCCTCGCCGGGCGTTGGCAACGCCTCGAGTGGCGGCACGCCCGCCTCCGTTGGCCACTCCTACGCCTTTGGCAACACCGAAGAGAAGGCCCGCCGCCTAAACATGGGCTGCAAGGCGCGCGGGCAGCCCGGCCAACCCTTCTCCCACAAGACCGGCCACGGCTACGTCAAGGGACAAGGCGCATCGCGGTTTCTACCACGACGCGATCTTTGTCAAGCGCAACAACTTCAACCTGCTGCTCCACGAGACGTTCGGCGGCGGCTTCTCGCCCACCGCCGTTCTCAAGCTGCGCCGCCTCGCGCGCAAAGTCGCGCGCGGCAGCGTTGACCGCACAGCCTACTCGCCCAAGTACTCGCTCTCTTTTATGTCCCACCATGCAGAGCGCATCTCTCTCTGTTGTGCGAGGCGTGACCCGCGCCATTCGCTCTCACCTGGCAACCCTGTCTGCACGTCTCGCGCGCGCGTGAACAGGGCAGTTCTGGGGGTCACGATTTGCGCAAAAAAGCGGAAATTGGCGTAAGCGTCTGAAAGCAGTCTTGGGTGGTCGACGGTCGACGGCGTCTTTAGAGGCCTCAGCTTCGCAAAAAAAACCCGGGGCGCGGCGGCCTGCGACGGCCCGGGATGAGCTCCCCACGATGCGACTAAGCGAGATCAATTGACCTACTGGACCTATAGTCCACTCCTATCATGTCTATACTGACTGCAGACGACCACATGCCACACAGCATCACGCACAAGCACAAGACCCGGGATCGCAAAAAAGACCCGCGGTGCTCACACACACCCACGCGCTCGTGCATGCCGAACCAGCTCTAAAAACATACCACCGGGACCGCCTCGCCAAGGCGCACAATATTCCTCAGTCTGGCGAAGGCCAATTCTGTCATCCTGGGCGTCAGCAGCGTGCGACGACAGCGGTCTTCGTTGCGCGGCAGTCTTCTTTTGCGCAGCTGAGGCCTCTAGGGTGTTGTGTGGTCAGAGTCACAGAGTGACTTTCTGTGTGGCCGTCCATCAGAGCTCCAGTAAGCTCGGAGACAACCCATTAGCGCGGCTCGGCTCTTTGAGTTCACTGCCTTCCCAACGGTTTGGCTGTAGAGAGAGATTTTTAGCAATACATACAACCCTTCGACCACAAGAACGGCCACGGCTACGTCAAGGCGCGCATCGCGGTTTCTACCACGACGCGATCTTTGTCAAGCGCAACAACTTCAACCTGCTGCTCCACGAGACGTTCGGCGGCGGCTTCTCGCCCACCGCCGTTCTCAAGCTGCGCCGCCTCGCGCGCAAAGTCGCGCGCGGCAGCGTCGACACCGCACGGCCTACTCGCCCAAGTACTCGCTCTCTTTTATGTCCCACCATGCAGAGCGCATCTCTCTCTCTGTTGTGCGAGGCGTGAACCGCGCCATTCGCTCTCACCTGGCAACCCTGTCTGCACGTCTCGCGCGCGCGTGACCCTGGTACACTCTCACTTTGATATTTCCCGCGGTGCACACTCAAAGTCCGGGAATCTCACGGACTCGCGCGTTTTGGCCGGTTACCCAAATCGTTTTCTCTTCTTGTTTAGAATTCTTCGTCGTCATAATCCTGGCGAGTAGAGGCCCCGCCCACCCAGGGTACCCTCTCGAGGGACCCATTGGGCACGCCGGTGCTCTGCTCGCCGGGGCTCTGCTCGCGTGCGTGTGCCTCTACTCGCCCGGTCACAATCTTTCCGCCGCTGCCGCAGCATGCCGACCGCCGCCGTACCAAAGCTAATTGTTTTCGACCTCGACGCCTGCCTGGTGCGCGTAGTATCTGACACCTCCGGCCGCCGACCGTGACGTTAGTCAGAGGCGGCGGCAGCGCGCACGCGTCCCTGACACCGCCGCCCGCCGCCTGGCAGTGGACGCCCGAAATGTACGAGCTCTCTGGCCGCCCGACAAAGTACGACGCGGCGCGCGGCGGCGTCGCCGCCGGCGGTGACGTGGTCCGCCTCTTCTCGGGTGCGGCCGCAGTGCTCGCGCGCTTTTTGCCTGGCGGCGACCCGCGGCTCTCGAGCGCCACCGTCGCGGTTGCCTCGTCAACCACGGAGCCTGCGTACGCCGCCACCTGCCTCGAGAAACTTCCCGTCTCCCCGGAGCGGGGCGAGACAGTGGCCGATCTCGTGGATCACCGGCAGATCTATCCGGGCTCCAAGGGGCGGCAACACTTTCCAGCGCTGCAGCGGGAGACGGGAGTCCCGTTCGACCAGATGCTCTTCTTTGACGACTGCACGTACGGGGACAACTGCGGCGACGTGGCGCGAAGCTGCCCCGGCGTGGCTTGCGTTCGCACGCCCCACGGGCTGACGGAGGCATTATTCGACGCCGGGCTCGCAGCCTTCGCGAGGGGCGAGCGGGGTGTGCTGGACGCGGGGAAGGACGCGGTGAAGTAGCGCAGGCGGAGTTGCTTTACATAAGAATCGCGACTCTGTCCGCCCCCTTCGCACGGTAGTCGCACACCACCGGAGGACCGGCGCTGCGCGCCCCCACAAAAAGGTCAAAGCAGAACACTGGGCGGAGGACGGCTCAAAGACAAAGTTCTGTGCCCCCGTGTGCGCGGAGTCCATAACCATATCTCGTTTTTGTAAAATGAACTCGGGGGTACGGGACGCGGCACAAACGGGGCACAAAACGCGCCAGGCTACAAACACGGGGAGGCACGTAGTGACGCAAGGAAGGGAGTCTAGGCGACGATGGCGTCCTCCGACGCCGCAGAGCGAGCCCCTGGAGCGCTCGGTCGCATGAATCTCATCCGCCGCCGCGAGCTGCAGCGCGACTGACTTGCGCTGGGCCTGCAGCGACAGCCACGACCGCGTCGACCAGCTCGCCTCGCGCCAGGCTACAAACACGGGGAGGCACGTAGTGACGCAAGGAAGGGAGTCTAGGCGACGATGGCGTCCTCCGACGCCGCAGAGCGAGCCCCTGGAGCGCTCGGTCGCATGAATCTCATCCGCCGCCGCGAGCTGCAGCGCGACTGACTTGCGCTGGGCCTGCAGCGACAGCCACGACCGCGTCGACCAGCTCGCCTCGTCCTCGTGCTGCCGCTTCGAGAGCTTGTTGCGCGCACGGGCGTGGAGATGCGAGGGTCGCCCCCCTTGCCCCACCACCTTGTGTGTGAGAGAGAGATTCTTTCTTGTGTGTGTGGAGACGTTTTTTAGCAACACCAAACAAACAGTCTGGCGCGCGCGTGAACAGGGCTCCAGGCCCCAAATGACGTGTGAGTGTTAGAGAGAGACGTTCACCTTACCTTACCTTACCTTGTCCTTCATCTGGTAGAACAACCGCTTGACCGCGTTGCACCACCCGCCGAAGGTTTCGAACAGGTACATCTGTACATCCGTGTCCGAGCGCGAGAGGGCGTGCGCGTAGTCCGCCTTCTTGTATGCGCTTGCTTTGGGGGGGGGGGGGGGGGGGGCGTTTTGACGAACTTGCTGGGCGTGTCAAGTTCGAACGATTGAGCGCTCGGCGGCTATCGTCAACTAGTGCCTTGCCTGCCGATGGCCCGCCTAGGCGCACCGCTGCGCCACAGAGAAAACCGCAGCCCACGACGGGCTGAAACCAGTGGCGAGGTTCAACAAGTCTCCACCGAGGATCCAAAGTGGCTCATCGAGGCGGCCGCGAAGCTCAAGGAGGAGCAGCCGCTCCGCGGCGAAGCCGACTCCGTCCAGCTTCTGCATCGTGCTGTCCCGCGAAGCGCGACACGGGCTCCTCTTCCTACCACGGGCTTCAACAGGGCCATGCAAGTCGCGGTCCTCGTTGTCACCCTCACCCTGGCCGCACTCGCGCTGACGGGAGCGGGCGCGGTTGCTCAACCGATGGCCTCGCCGCCGCCGCCCCCGCCCAGGCACCTTGTAGTCGTGTTCAACCTCCTTAAGACTGCGGAACCAGCCAACTCACACCGACGGCTCTTTGACGCCAGTTCGCTGGAGGCGGTGCTTCTCGACCAGCTTCCGGCTGGAGTCGAGCCGGGTGATGTCAGGCTTCTTGACACGGGCTCCGGCTTCGAGGTGGAGATTGCTCCACACGCCACGGTAACGACGGATGACGTGATGCAAGCCGTGCAGTCAGACGGGTTCGCCAATGCGGTCAAGGAGCACCAGCTACGAGTCTCAAACCTGCACACCGCGACGGCGTCGCCTCCCTCGCCACCATTGACACCGCCCCCACCGCCGCCACGACTGCCTCCAGCGCCAAGCCTGCGCTCGTTCTTCTCGGGCCAAGTCTCGCTCCCCGTCGGCCTCGCCGCCGGCGTCGCCGTCGTGTCCCTTATGCTGATCGCAACAGTCGTGACTCGACGGGAGAGAGAAGCCTCTCTGGCACCTCGGGCTCTCAAAGCTTCGCCGCGTGGGGTGGCTGTTGCGTGGCGTGGCGTGGTCAAAGGCGATGAAGTTGACGACGAGGCTGGCGCCGCACCGGCCGTGCCCTGCTCAAGCCCGACGCAGCAAAAGGTATGGTCGCCCACGACGAGCATCGAGCAGACGACGAGACGGGCCGAGGCGGGCGACACCGAGGCGATGATGGATCTCGGTCTCGCGTATTACATTGGCCTCGATGGGGTGAGCAAGGACATCACGCAGGCCTACAAGTGGTACCAGCGAGCTGCAGACGGCGGTTACCCCACAGGCATGGCGCGCCGCCTCGGCTTCCTGGTGCAAGCCTCGGGCGATGCGCCCGCGCTCGTGCCGAGCCTCTCGGGCGATGAGGTGGAGGCGGTGGAACGAGGAGCGAGCAAAGCGGGTCGGGCGGGTGGGCCTCCGGCTGGCCCCACGGCACAGGATTGTGCACGGGAGCGAGACGGGAAGGAGAGAGGCGGGAGGGGGGCGAACGCGCGCATGTTTCTCCTCTGATACCGTGAATTCCGCGAATGTGTCACACCGGTCACACCGGTCGCCCGGTCACACCGGTTGCATTTGCTGATTTAGGAGAGATTTGAGTTGCACTAAATGGCCACACGACATGTTGGAGTTGCAACTTGCACCCGAAGGGCCGCGCTGTCCCGGCGGTCACAAGCAGGTACCAGCCTCAACACCTTGTGGGGCTGAGCAGGACGTGATGGACACTTTGGGTGGCGCCATCTGGAGCCTCAGTGCGCCCGGCGTGCAGGTGAGAGGGCGACAGCAGGTCCGAAGGAATTTGGTGAGCTACAGCTACGGGCGGCTGGCCTATGATGCCGCCGACAGCAGCACGAGCAGCTTCAGCTACAGCTATGGCAGCAATTTCCTGTGGCCAACAGCTCCCGAGGAGGGGAGCTTTGCCACCTCGCCGCCCTCACCATCCCTTCTCCTCCACAACCCAGAGCAGCCGCTGTACGCAAAGGCTGCTTTGTCACCAGAGCGGCTCAATCCAGGAGCAAAAGCCCCGACATCCAGACTCATCCCAGAGCAGCCGCTCTTCGCCGAGGTCTTTTTGTCGCCCGAGCACCTCATGTCAGACACAGCGCAGCGCTCGTCGTCCTCCTCGCCAACGTCGCTGCTTTCACCCGAGCTAATGCATGCACGTGGATCGCAAGACCGGACCGCAGTCAGTGCGCTAGCTTCCTCATTCAAGCCATTCCCTCCTCCTCCATCGCCACCGCCGCCTGTAGCCCCGCTCCCCTCACCACCCCCTCCTTCACCCCCTCCTTCACCCCCTCCCATCCCACTTCCCTCACCACCCCCAATCCCATCGCTTCCCCCACCGCCCCCTTTGCCGTCACCGCCACCGCCCCCCTCACCACGATCGCCCGATCCCTCTCCGCCACCGCCACCCTCACCGGATCACCCTCCGTCACCGCCGCCTCCACCGAGCCTGCCCCCTTCGCCGTCTCCATCGCCACCTCCACCCCCGAGTCCAAGTTCGCCCGATCCCTCCCCGCCTCCTCCTCCGCCACTGCCGCCGCCAACACCAGAAGCACATCAATC